GCTCAAGGTTTCTGCGTATCACGTTTTTAATTAAAAGCGACCGTTTTGAGACAGGGGAGGGTTAATTACGTGTGATGTGTGTAAACAACCAATCAATTATGAACAGCTGCAATTCAACTTCAGAGTTTCATAAACATTGCGTGCATGCACATTGGCAGGCATTTTGAGAAAAGGAGAGGTGAATAAACTGTTCAATGCTTAAACTTTGTGACACATGTCATCGTCCAGTTTTCCTAATGTTGTTCAACTTTTCCTGGCAAAAATTGCAGTTAAATTTGGGGGAGGGTACATGTAAATATCCCCTTCCACAGCAAGGGTCTATGATATGCGAGCAGATTCGGCAATTAATTATGCAAAACAAGACTGCATCTTGACCTCAAGATTCTGACCATTCAGCGGGCGCCTTCTATTTGGTCTTCGGTAACCCATTGTTGTATTACAAAAACATGGCATCCAAATTGACCAATCAACAGCTTAGTCCACATTTCTGATGGAAATGATGTCACAGTTTCTTAAGTTAACTCCGATTGGCGGGTGCACGGGAATGCATACAATTTGCATGTTAGGATTTATCAAGCGTTTGACCAGGCTCTGCACACTACCCCATCACTCAAATTAATAGTCTTTTCCCATTTCATTTGATACCACATTTGAGGTCGTGATGCTTGCAGTTTTGAAGATTTCATAAATTTTTCATTTTTTCAGCCAAGTCCACTTTCCCATTGAATCGCCCAGATACAGTAATGTAAACAAGTCCAAAAAATTGTTTTTAAATAAATTCCCCCAAACTTGTTTTCCACCCTATTAAGTCATCCGATTGCATCTTATTGAAAATCCATTTTCTCCAAACTGCATCCCCAGACGTCCAGCATTCCTGGCGTGTATGCTCAAACCTTGAAATGTAAAACCCACGCATTACGCAGATGTGGGTTCAGCAAATGACGCAAGCCGCTGGCCGCGCCGCTGTACTTGAAAGCTTGGATACTTCTGAAGTACCTGAGGAGTGGTGTTAACCCATTTGTGGAATGTTTTGCAATAAAATGGCTTCGACAAATACTCAGGAAACTGCACAATTGACCGATCAGACAGGTTAAACAAATTTCACTAGTTTCCTGATAGTTTGAAATTCTGTTTTGAATATTAAATACATATTGGCAAATATTTGGAAAAAAAATAACCTTAGTGAGAAAAATGGCTTAACTAATGCGTGAATTATAAATGTATCGATCATTAAAAAAGAATTATTTTTGTTAACATGCTGGAACAGCTATTCCAAGGTTAAAGGTTCGAATCCTGCTCCATTCAAACTTTGTTGTTTCCTGTTGTTTATTTGATAAGCAGTTTAATACAAAAACAATTGAGATTTTTTTTTTCAACTGCTGGATTCTTGTCTTGCTCGCTCTTGAAATAAATATCTTACTAGGCAACCCTTTATGGGGCAAGAATGACACAGATCAACATTTGCACTTGCTAGTGCAGTTGCAAAATAGGTGAACACTACATACATTTGTATCTGATGATTGATAACCAGTTAAGCTTTGCTGGTGAGGCATTAATCATACAATGTACAATGTACCGTAGGCTGTTGGTATCTAGGGAGAGTGCGTACAGTACACTGTACTGTAAGTCGGTCGGGTTATCGGTATACTGGTATTATTGCTGGTCTGAGCAGACCAGCCCAGTGTCCTCATTGTACCGCGTGTAGCTCACTGACTGGCTGTTACTTGTCACCTGAGCAGTGCTATCATATAGGATTACCCCTTAAAGGTACAACATTTGCAAACATCCAAAAACAAAACTACCAAATTATTATGGAATGCCTTACTTAACTGTAAGTGAATAATAGTCTCAAGCAGCCTGTGAAACCATGGCACCTGGTGTGCTGTCATTTTCAAGACAAGTGGAATTTTTTGTAACAATTTCCAACGATGGTCGGCCGACCATTGTTGGAAAAAAATTGACTTTTTATTGAGTTAGTCAATAAGCCAGCTAGTCTGGTTCCATGACCTGACAATTCCCCAACGTCTATAAATTTCTCTGTTTTGGTCTGAAGTAGGGTCGGGGAAACAGACTACAAGAACATCTGTGTAACAATGATCTGTGTAACAATATTTGCTATAAAATACTAACCCCCAAATACATCTATTTCTGCATATTACAGCAAAAGCAAATGCTGTAGACCACATGTACCGGTACATGAAAAGACTTCCAGTTATCATGAATAGCCATATCAGAATTGATTGAATATATAGGCCTAACGTTTTGTGTGTCGTGGTCCTGCAAGCCATTTGATACTCGTTCTTTGGGTGGGCTGTCAGCCTTTTCAGCAGTTGCTGCACATTTCAACCCGGAGTTGACCCATGCAATGTGTGCTTACTCAGCATGAGGTCAAACCGTGCAGGGAATTGGGAGCAAGGTTGAAAATGTGCTGCCCTGGTACAGGAATTGAAATACCAGTACATTGTAAATGTATACGAGTACACTGATTGAAAATTTTAACGATCGGACAGTTCAAACATGTACATGTACATGTACGTGTATCTGGAGACGTTTAAAATCATACTTTGTTTTGAGTTATGTCCCAGGGCATTTAAAAAAACAACAATGGCTTGGCTCAACAAGGATTTGTTGGAAAAAAGGTATGTTTTTTTTTTGAGGGGGGGGGGGAGCAATGTTGTAGTGTTTGAATATTCTATGGTACACAACACTTCATGTTTTTTAATGTCTTGTAAATCTTGATGCTTTAATTTCAAACTTGAGTTTTATAAAAAATTACGGACACTGCGTTCACCTGCACTGGGTTGGTGTCTGTCTGAATCAATTACTTGAACCACGGAATGACTTCCACTGCACCCCCCCCCAACCAAAAACCTTTTTCTTTCTTTTTTTCACAGTAGGTTGGTTGAATATAGGAAAGAAAAAAGTCACTATCTATGCTTCAGCTAAATTCTTGAGCCCAAAAAGTTTAAGATCATGTTGTTATTATACTAAACAAAGTCCCCCAATAATTTGATGGTCTGAAAACCCCTCTGCGTAGTGCCACGCACTGATGACAAACATCGCGTCAAGGATTGGGCCGCGCCGCGCACCCTGGGTGTTGGCCCAACGCCAGGCGACGTGCGACGGGAAGTTTGCCATTACGAGAGAGAACAGTTGCCTTGTCCGATCCCTACACCCAATCCTGCATGTCATAGGGATGTATCAATTACTTGAGTTAATTGTGATTGATATTTAATATCTCATACTGTTTTGGGATCTTAGTGGTACATGTACATGTACATGTACTTGTACGGCCTATCACATACTTAATTAGTGTTTGAAACCAAACTTACAAAATGTAACTTATGTTTGCCAAAAGAAATGATTCACAATCACATAGCATTCGTTTTAAAGAAGCCACTTCCGAACTGCAGTGTTGACTGCCAGTTCCTGCATATATACTGTCGGACGTTCATTGATAAATTCATCATGTTTTCACTTTCAAATTTATACGTACTCAAATACTAAATATTGGTTAAATTTGAATCCCCAAGATGATATTTCTTGAGGAGTGAAATCCTTAGAGAGTGTTGTGTGTAACTGTTTTTAATTGTCTAATTTCCTCAGAGAGGGTTGGAAGGAAGTTAGTTACAAATTGATAATGTCACCTGTTTCCATGACAATGACTGCTAGTTTTGACAGCAATACAGTATCCACCTTTTCATCAATGTTTCCTTCTTCCAACCAACCAATCGGTACCCTGTACATGTTAATATATCCCTGACAGTCGAGAGACCGGTGAAATTCTATCTGCAGTCCAAGTAGTCAGCGCTCTGTACATGTTACTATGCCTGCGACAGTATGGAGACCGGTGCAACGCAATCACGTACATTCCAAGTCAGCTGTTGCTGGTATATTAATCAACCAGTCAACAGCTGCTCGACAGCGGGGTACCAGTTGTGCCGGTATGTTACCCTGCATATGTGCCAGATTGAGACAAGAGCACTACATGTGTACTTTGCACCAATCGCAAAGGTCATGGTTTTAACCCCCCCCCCCTCCCGCCCCCTCCCTTCACCCCCTCCCCTGACCTGACACTCTTCCCCGCCCCTTTCCCCTGCCCCTTCCCTGCCCCTCCAACAATATTTCATGACTACATTGTACTTTGAACTATAGAAACAGATACTTTGGTCTGCTATTTGTTTGTGCTTGTGCAGATCAGACAAAACAAATGTTCTGATAAAAGATCATTAAGGCCATTTTGACACAGAAAGATAACATACAGTTCCACATTCCAATTGAAAGACAGGTCCCTTGGCCAACACTTATCTTGTTTCCCTGTCAACATTGTCGGGTGTGTATGTCCAAGGTCTGTTCATGTTCTGTTTTTCGTGTACGTGTACCTATTCACAACATTTATCAATGTTACATTCTATTTCACCTGACGGATATGTGCATACTGGACAGTTTAGTGTTGTACATAAATACATAGCTTCTCTGCAGGCTACTAACATTCACATGCGAGTACACGTACAAGTGTACATGTACATGTATGTATGTATTTGTATAGCCTTCCCTTGTTCCGTTAGTCACACGGGCCACAGGCAAAATTGTGCGCAGTTTATCAGAACTTTAATTTGTCCATTCAATACATGTGCGTCAATAGATGATTGTTCATGTACATGTACATGTACCGGTACCTTGTATACAACACACCTTGTACAGTTGCATACAGTACATGTACACATGTACTAGTACATGTACACGCACATGCACAGACGATGAATTTTTTCTTTGGACGAGACCTATTTAATTGGAACTAACCATTTCCAAGGTGGGGATGAACATTCACCTGGCTGGGAATCTACAACTCTGAATGGCATTGACACTTGCACTTGATGTTGAGAGCACCTGACGTCTCCCCTTAATAGGAATAATGGTTGGGTCCGTAGTGGGCCTTATGGGTTGTGTGTGTATGCAGCAAAATACACACGCATGACTTCCCTGCTGGTTGGAACCTGGACAGCAGAATCCACCGAGAAATACCCGAGCGTGCACATACCTTGTGATTGGGAAAGTCTGCTTACGGCAGATGTAGACCTACGTGTGGGTCTTCAGATCATGGGTTGAATGCAGCACGTTTGCTGCATGTGGACATAACTGAAGTCCCAGACCTCTGTTGAACGTGTTAGGAAATTGTCCTGACTTTACAAAAGAGTGGTCAGACTTGGATGAATAATCCAGAGGATTTCCAGCATTTCCACCGGAGAACCTCATGATACTTTGACCGGTGGTCCTGGACTGCTTGGATGTCCTTGTTTCCGTTGGCGATCATAATTGACAACGTAGGATCAACTTCATTTTCCTCCCTAACGTCTCGGGTTAATTGAAATCTTCGTCGCCTCTCAATATGAAGTCGTTAGGACAGCGTCGACCCAATGCCAAGGCGCCGTGCCACATCAACATAGTGGTAAGATATTCCTCAATTGCTTGCAAGTCTTTACACTGGCGCTGGTTCATACTAAGGGCAAATACAAACACAAATTTGTGATGTACTTGGCAAAAATTTGCGCTGCTTAGAGCAGAATCCGGCGACCAGAACTAGAAGCTGTTACTGTAGGGGTGCCACACTCACGCGCATGCTGCACGCGTTCTCAAAGACAAGGCGTGCGCATTATGGTAACTCTATTGGTTGAAGGAGCTCTAACTTGTGTGCGTATTACGGTACCTGAGTGTGATTTGCGCAAGCCTGTTGCCACCTCAGAATATGGCTGTTGACGGAGTTGTCTTCAGACGAATCTAGGCACGTGATCACTGCACACTCACAAGGCCCCCTTCAATGGTGAAAGCATTGTGCTAGTTGTACAGAACAACTGGCCTATGATGTGAACAATAGCTATCACAATGCTTACGCCATTAAAGGGGGCCTCGGTGATGGTAATGATAGCTTGCTAGGATTGGTCTACGTGGATGCCAACTTTCACACATTTCAACTCCGGTTAATTTTGCTTCAGATTTTTTTTGAGGTCAAATTTGTCTCTGCAATTGCATTCACATGAAATTATGAACTGTCCGTAACATGTCCTAGTTTAAAAAAAGTACATGCACATGTGTACATTGGCACAAATTGACTGTGTTGATTTTGATGGATGCAGGAAGATGCCTTTACTATTCTCAGAAAGTAACAAGACCCCTTGCTTTTCACTTGCCAATTACTTGTGTTGTACAAGAATTATGGTCCAAAGACAGAAAATGTCTGTGAGTGTATTAAATACCAATACACATTGTACTGTGAGTGTGACAGTTTTGTAGAAAGGAACCCCACACGATGGTTTTATTATTAACAAACTAATCAATTTATGACCATTAGTACTTGTAGCTTTCCCCTGTGCCATACCTTGGTTTCTGACTGGGCTTTCTCTTAGGGCATGATGTCTGCGACCGCTCAATTAGTAAATTCTTCGTGTGTTCATTTGATTTCTGGAATCGTTGCATGCGGTTGACATTTGATTCTTAGGGTCATGGAAACAGTGTGTTGTGCAAGTCATTTGAATACTCAGACTGATTTGTTCGGTAACAATAATATTTGGTCTTTTTCAGCAATTGTGTGTTGATTTTTCTTGCCGCTATGTGATCAGGATTTTATTTCCCACTAGTGACACCCTGTGACATTTATTTTTCATCTCATGTGGTTTAAAATTGTTCCAAAAGAACCACTTACCATAGAAAAAGAAAAAAATTGTAAAGAAGATAGTTTCAAAAGATATAGGCCCTACTGTATTTTTTCGTATACGTGTGTGATATTTCATATGTTAAATGGAATTACAGAAAATACAAATGTTCTGTTACCGATATTTTGTAATGGGAAAAGAATAAGAACTCAAAAAGAAATTTTTTCATTAATTTGTGTTTAGGCCAAAAAAAAGAATAGTTCTGCTTCCGGTTACCCGACCGACCCTATTTTTAGGCTGCGACCCTAAAAAATTTATCGGCAATTCCAAAAAAAAAGAAAAAAAGATTGAATAAATAAAAATAAAAACCTTATGTCTTGTCTGTCTTCACAAAATACCTCTCAACAACCCTTTTGCATCAAAAAATGCTTGTATTTATTGTTTTCTTACTTACCTTCGCTATTTTTTCAAAAGAAACCTCCGTTATTTTTACAAATTCGCTGTGCGATTCAACTACTTCGCAATTCGATGTCTATAATCACGTGCGTAATAAGCGCAATGCGGCGACGACTAGTTCCCGCCGCGCCGCGCAGGGGCCAATATGAAAATGCGGTAACTAGTCTGTGCACGGCTATGCGATCGTTAGCACAAGCATGGCTATGCAGGCGCAGGCACGTGCTCTGTCAACTGGTTGGACTCGACATCGTAAAAATGCTGAGAAAGACATCGTAAAAATGCCAAGAAAACACCGATGGAGAAAGAACATATTTGCAAGTTAAATCACAGATTCGATCTAGCTTGTCTGTGTATGTATTTTCCGTGTTCAAGAGTTCATTTTGAGATCGCACTACTCGTATTTGGAGTGATACAATGCAGCGTGTTTCCTGAAATGTTCGACCCGTTGGCCGCGGGCCACACATGTACATGTACAGTGCATCACACACTTCGGAGTTTTGGCCAGCTCCCCTTGACTAGCGTTGGTGCGAACGACCTGAATTTCCCACAATTTTTTTTACGAATTATCGAACGTAAATATATTGACAATAATTAAGGTAGGTTTTATTCACTTTTTGTGGCCATTTTGTGTATAGCTTTTGTAGTGCAATGGAAATAGTTCAGGCTAAAACTTCGCATATAATTGAATACCCCATTCAATCTGCATAAAAAAATTGGCCAAAAAAAAAAAAATCCGACCGACCGACCGACCCTATTTTTGAAAGGCATGTAATCGGAAGCAGAACTATTCTTTTTTTTGGCCTTAACAAAGAGTTAAATTTTCCTTTCTTTTTGAGTTGCAAATCGAGGGGAACTGCTCACTTTGTTGATAAGATCAACAGTGTTCCAAACAACATCATGTATTCCCATCTTGAGACCAGATTGAATTTCAAGACTATAAATCTATTCAACACACTCCCCAAACTGCAAACCTTTTAAAAAAACCTGGGTCGTCTTGAAGAACTCAACCAAATAAATAAAATGTAGGGCTGCGCGCTCGCCCCTTCCACCCGAAAGCAATATTTCATGAAGCGGACAACGATTGCAGCACTGCAAACTGACATTTAATGAACTTTTTTCTCTTTCCCAACGGAGCTTCGAGACACCGATTGCAATCCATTCCGATTTGACGGGGTTGATGTCTTGGGGGCATCATCTCTCTGTCTTTACAGAGCCTGTTGGGCCGTCCCCCAATCCCCCCCCCCCCCTCACGTTGGTCGTTATCAGGGAGGGAGGGACTACTCTCAAGACATGGGGGTGACATTTCCACATCTTGGCCCCTGATTAATTCCCAGTGATTGTACATTGTTCAGCCCAGGATCCTCCGTCAGCTGACAAATGTTTAGTAAGTCTAGGAGGGAAGTTTATGAATTTCTCGTAAACTGTTCTGGAGATTTATCGATTTGCCAGTCCGTCTTAGCAGCGCAAACATCGGGCCATACAGGCAGGATCTAAAACGCAGTTGGCAAAGAGTTAAAGTCAAATGAGTGCCCCGAGTTTAATGGTTTCAAAACAACGGGCAGACATGAAGATAACAGTTTTGAGGTTATGACTGTTACCCTGATGTTTGGCAAAGGAATAATTTGTTGTACAGTACATGCACATGTAACGTTCTTTTTCAGGGAAAAATAATTTTGTGAATCATTTGACTTAAGGATGAGCTCCTTATTTAACTGAATAAACGTGTCTGGAAAACTGAAACATGCATTTCAGTCAACACCAGTGCATTATGTTTACTTGACCATATAGTACACTGGGTGAGTAGCCGTGTGTGTTTATTGGTTCGGTTTCTGATGTGGGCGATAATTGCGTCTGTGATGGGTTCCTGAAATGAATTGGTTTTGATGTGTTCCCAAAAGTACATCAACAGCGAAACTAGTAATCAAGCATGCATTGTGCTCCGTAAAGGTCGTACGGCATTTGATTATTGAACAGGCATCTGGAGTTTTTGTAGATTCCGCGTAGATTGGACTTAATTGGGCATCAGTTTTGGACTGAAACTGAAAGAAAAGGTCGAAACCGAGTAATTGATGGTACCAGTACAGTACCTGGTACTTGTGAGGAAAAATGCTGTTGTATGGATTTTCATTAAGTTTTCATCATAATTGGGGTGTTTTTTTTGGGAGGGGGTTGGGGGTTGCAAAGGCGGATCCAGAGGGGGCCAACGGGGGCCATGCCCCCCCCCCCTCCCAAAAAAATTTAACCCCCCTTTTTTTTATTCTTTCATTTTTTAGCAACGTCGCAAAAAGGCAGCCATTGCAAATACACCACCCACAAAATTTGAACAAAAGCAATACCGGTACATTTAACCCGCTCCCCTTGTTATTCATATTAAATTTGGGGTGGAATTTTTTAACCAACTTTTTTGGTCACAACGTTTTTTTTGCCAAACCCCCCCCCCCCCATTTTTTTTTGTTCTGGATCTGGCCTTGGTGGTTGCACCCCTTAAATAGTCCTGTAAAAATGTAGGTGTTCAGATACATGTACCATAAGGCCTACATGTACGTATGGCGCCTTCCATCTGAGAAATTCAACTCTTCATAGGGTCATCCTAAGTTCATCCTCACCGCACTGAAAGTAAATCAACCCAAACTTCAAGAAGATGTTTAGACCTTCAAGTGGACGAGAGAATGATGTCAGGCCATGTCTGATGTACTCTCTACTTTTAGTCTTTCGTGTTTCTGGCACTGCTTTACATACGTGCTCTTAACCAACGGCCACAACATCCCAGTTAGCGTCAGAGCTTCGTCGGGCTGTCCCGAATATATCGCTTCAAGTATTGACCCAAAAAAATCCATTAATCGTTGGAATTTGGATATTTCAACATGACACCGGTTTAAAAAAGCTACAAAACTCCTCCGTCATATTTCCTAAATATGTGTACAAAGCCAAGATAATAGAGATTGAGGATGCATTACACGTACAGATGCAGTCTCTTCTTGTCGAAGCTTTCTATAAAACCTGACACTTTGAGAAATCTTGCTCTCAATCTGCGTCTAAAAAATCCTTTGACGTCATTCCGACGCGGGAAGAGTGGGGGGGGGGGGCCTTCCGCACAACAGATCTCTCGGTCAGAATCTGATAGGCGTCGCATTGTAATAGCATTACCTGAGAGAAACAACCTCTAGATGGGTTTGAGTGACATCAAGTCTTTCAGAGAAGTCAATTCAGGCCGGCGCGGCGGACAGAAAGCTGAGGGAGTGCCGCTGCGATTCATTGTTCGTGCCAAGCGCAACTGACTTTGTCGGTTTTCCGGGGAGTATTGTCCGCAAGTTCCTTTGAACAGCTTTCAAGCTCTCGGGATAAGGTTTCATTAGAGTAAAAGGATGGGTTTTCTTGAGTCACTAAAAAAAAATTTTTTGGAGTTATAGACATGTCCGGATGTTGTAAAATTTTATACACGAGGTAGTAATGGCCTTAACAATTTAAAAGTATTGTATTAAAAGGAATAACAATGTTAAAAACACTTTTGAGTTAAGTAAAACATTAGAAATTCAGATGGGCTGGGCTTTTAACAGCGTGTATGATGGAAGATGGAGAATCAAAATGGGCTTTTACTCAAAAAAGAAAAATCCATTGATGTGATACGGTGATAGTTGGGAATTGATTAAAGCATTGTAAAATGTACCTATGCTGTGGCTGGGATATTTTTGTGAGGAAGTTTTCTATTAGGAAAATGTGGACCGAGTTGTAGGGACTTTCAACTGTCCTGACATGTTTCTTCAAAACATGTTTCTTCATCTTCAAAACCTGTCATTCGACTGCTGTGTGGTCCACAGAACTGGTATTTTGTACTCGCTTGAACTACTTTTCAAATGATTTAAACATTGTAAACATCTATTGATTTACAGCACAACTGACTGATTGAAAACACAGCACTGTTTAATTTACATGTATGTCTTGCCTTAATTGGTTCGTTAAGTGTAGGTCTTCGTGTAGTCAACATTGTAAATCATGTTCTAGGAAGTGATGTTTTTTTTTCAGGTTAATGCTCCAGGTTCAGGGACCAGGAATGACCAGTAAAATGAATCAGATATTCCACCGACCCTGTCCCCGTTCTCAAACCTTGATTTGTTTTGACAAAGTCTCCTCAGTGTCAAGAAGAAATAAATTACCATTTCCTGTTTCATTCTTGCAGAGTTTGATTGATGATGATATGATAAGAGGTTGGCTAGCCAGGATTTCTTCAAACCTTGAACAAAGTTTGCTTTTACCGTGGGTCAAGAAAGTGGGTCTCTTCCATGCTCTATGATTTTTCTTCTAACAGACCACTTATTGCTTTGTCCTTTTAGAGATTTCAATATCCAAAGGAGGATTGTGGAAGATTTTGTTTTGCCCAGAACTAATGTTCATGAATTTTAATTGTTTTCATTGAGCTGGAAAAATTGTTAACTTTATCTTTTTCTTTTTCTCTTTTTACAGTCGGATTATGATGAGGAACGAGGACCCACTGACTACAGCAGCCCCAAGCCTGCCAGTGCCACCAGTGGCTTCGCCAACTCCTTCCCTCGTAGTTTCCGGTTAGGACGCCCTCTATCCATCGATGAGAGTCGCATCGCGCGGCGAGGCAGCCTGGGTGGAGCCGGGCTCCTCAGCCAGCAATTCCCACCGTCGGGGGGAGGGAACACGGGGTACCATACCAGCACAACCAATGCGCTGACATTGGAATCGTCCAATCTGCAGCGAGTACGACACCTGCTTGGCCAATCAGCTCCCTCGTTATCTGCAAGTTTGGTAAATATTTTAATTTACATTTTAATGTAATCAACGAATTAAAAAGCTACTTAACACAAGACCATTGGATCAAAATTATTCCCCCTTTCCAGAGGGCATATAATTATTCGTTGAATCTTCACAAAAATGATAAAAAAAAGGTAGAGATAAAACCTGATCATTGGAGTGAAGTTATTACCCCTAACCAGCAGGCTTACAGTCATTCCTGGAATCTTCCCAAGTAGCACGCGTTGTTTGGTAGGAGACATTTATGAAGACACAAACATCCTGCACATCTGTCTGTATACATTCCGATTAACCCCATTATTGTGAAGATGCTGCCACAAAACGTGAGTCAGCCGTTACCACGAGACCACAGCATCCTTGGGCGGTCAAGATTTAATCATTAGGACGGGCTACCAGTCTTGTTATTTTCCTGTCTGCTTCCATACAATTAGTCTGTGGTAATTTCCAAATTTCCCTGCTCGATTTCTCGTGCGTTGTCGCTCTGGCAAAGCGGTATTTTTGTTCTTGCATCACACATTTTGTAGTTGGCGAAAAGTACATCACATTGTCTGAACAATTTTTTTTTTTTTAAATGGGCTTTTGTGATTTGAGGCCTCTTATCCCTAACTTCCTGGGCTTTTTTGCTAGGATGCAACCTCAATCCTGCAAATTCCTCCAAGTGCCTCCATGTCAACATAGCATACATTCTCAATCCTCCAAAATCATCCGTTATTTCTTGAATGTGGTCCTTGGGTGACCAATGCCTCAATCCTGCAAAATCCTCCAGCAATCACTGTCAATGTATTGAGGCAGAGCCAGTGACAACCTGGAGCAGTGCGGAGGATGTCAAGTATAATCCAGGCCTAGATACCGGTATTTATGCACGGCTGAGCATAAACAACACAAGGTCCAGCCCAAGACCTTGACACAGTGCATCCTCATCAGCCACGCATTTTTGCCATATGGCCTCAATCCTGCAAGATCCTCCATTTTGCAAAGAAGACTTTGGAGGATTTGGGAAGGTTAGGGTTAATTAAAGAAATAGATACGTACTACCAGTATAATTGTGCAGTTTTCCCAATGAATCTGAATTTTCCTGAAATAAATTAGTCCCATGTGACTTGGGTTAAATACATTGTACACAAAACCAAATGTCAATATCTTTGCAATTTTAAACATGAAACACCTCTTACATACATGTACACATTTTCCAATCATGCATAAATATTACATTGCATAATATTGATTAATCGTTAAAAACCAATTGTGCGTAATACCCTTAGTCATTTGCACCTGCTGATTACAATATTATGTGTTTTTCTGCCGTGTTTACGGTCTCCATGAAATGAAGCAAATCATCGCGAAAACAGGTGTTTTGAGAACGGCAGAACTTGCCAAATTAAAACATCACTCATGTCCACTGCACATGTGCAGTAGGCCATATTTTCATTTCCTCGCCAGTGTGAATTTCCAAATTTACGGATATTTGATTTTTGTTGATCTCCCAGATGGAATGAAGCTTTGTTTGAGTTTTTTTAAATTGCAATAGGATCTGGTGAGTGACCCCAGTGTCGGCCTGCATCTGAACGATTGATGTTTTTGTTGCTTTGAGTGCGAACATGCACAAATTCAATTTAATTCAGGCCATAAAATACTGTGTACGGTGTAATACATTGTACATGCATTGAGTTGATTCGTATACATACATTTATGCACATAAATATTGTACAAATGTAAATGCAATGCTCAATTTACTATGAAATTTAAAAGAAAATTCTTAAGGAGCTAGTTTTACATAAATTTCTTAAAACCAAGGATTTTTTTTTTTAATTTGTCTTCTGATTGATTTTATGCACTTTTTAAGGATTAATCATATACATGCATGTACATGTTTGCAACATGTATACTTGAAAATAATGTTGAATGTATGTTGAAAATAATTTATGCTCTTCTTTGTAAAATATATTAAGTTGAATCATCTTCTTCATGCATTAAAAAAAAAAATCCTGTCCTCTCATATTCACAATAAATGTCACGGAATCCAGACCAGTTTTCCCCACAGAGTCAGGTACTTCACTTTGCCAAGATTTGCACATGTAATCGTTTAAGCTGTGTCCAAAGCCGCTGATTAGATAAAAATATGTGGACATTTTTTGCAACGAATTATAGCGGAGGCCTTTATAATCAAGGAGAATGCATTGACTAATCTGTTTAGCCTTGGGCTTTGCATTGAGAGCTGTGCAAAGTTGAACCCATTAACCAAGCCTTGATGTATTTTGGCTGTTCATAATGCAGCCGTTTAGAGAATAATCCTTGGATTTTTTTATATTTCATTCATTTTTATAAGCTTGCATCAATTTTGCCCCAATCATTGACTTTTTGTGTCAGTTAAATCTTGATCATATGGTGTACGTGTATGTTTATTATAAATCTTCAGGAATTTTCATCTGCATTTATTTTTTATGTACCGTAATTTTCGGAATATAAGCCGCGCGGCGTATAAGCCGCAGCACGCAAAAATCTGCAAATTAAGATTTGAAGTCGGCGTATAAGCCGCACCGGCGTATAAGCCGCACTGACCGCTGCGGTTTCAATTTTGTAAGGCCTCCAAATTCTAGTCAAAATGCTCTGAACTAGTTCCATTCACACTACAGTAGCTATTAAAAGGACCACAAAAGTTATATCAAATCATTTACAATTGATACTTTTACAAACAAATATGGGAATTGATGAGAAATAAACACCGGGAACTGCTGCCGGCTGCCCCGTCATAGCCCGGCAGCCTGCGCCACGCACGCCGGTGAATGACAACATTTTCCCACAGCACGTGAGAGAGTATGAAACCCACCGTGTGTTGTCTGACTGGAGCGCTACAAATCTTGCTTTGTGGCAACAGATGCTGATTTGTTTTGTCCTAAGAATAAACAGGTCCGTTTTTTATCTCAAAACTTATCAAATTGTTGCGATTAGTTGCGAGAAAAATTCAAGTTTCGATCGTAACTTTCTTTGGAAATAGTCAAAACGAAGCGGACATTTTAATAGACGATTCCATTAATTTTGTAAGGGGTGATTTAGTCCCTCTTTTGAGTTTTACATCGTTTCTTAAATATATTTCAAGAAAACAAAATATATTGTGACGTTGAACAACTGATTATGTAATAAAAAAATGTTTCGAACGCCATAAAAATTGTAGTGGTCTTTTTTCTTTTTTTTTAAACAGCGAAAATATTGGTCATTATTGTTCCCAAGAAAGAACACCCCTTTGTTACCACAAATGGTGTGGTCCGCTGTTGGGAAAGCATGCCTGCATATCGCTGCTGCACTGTACCAGTATCACGTACGGCTGGTGGCAAGTGTCAAAGACCGCTTTCATCACCGTACTTTTTTACCGCTCGGTACCTTTACGTGAGACGTGGTTTCGGTTTGTTAATGACTTTCTTAATTTATAATTCATTTCAGCAACATATACTCTTCTTATACCAGTACATTAAATACACATGTGAATTTCATTTTTATTCTTCAAGGCTCGGCGTATAAGCCGCCCTGTGTATAAGCCGCAGTAAACATTTTCATGGGCAAAATCAACGTATAAGCCGCGGCTTATATTCCGAAAATTACGGTAGCTACAGTAGGAGTTTTGGAGAAGGAATTTAGATAACAAGCGACTTAGTAATTTTTTAACAATTTAAATTTCCAATTTTTTTTTGTAACAATTCCCCTTCTGCATACTGCATACCCTTTTCCTATGCTTGACATTCTGGTATGCACACATGTACCGGTACTGCATGTCTTGGAAAGCTTTGAGACTCAGTGCTTCAGATAACAAATGGACGCAATTTAATCAATCCAATAACAAGATCTGCACATCTCGCCGAGCTCAGTGGAAAACGTTAATGTGGAATGAAGACTCTTGAAAAGATGGAGCAATCTCCTGACTGAAGCTCAACGAAAACATCAAAGAAGATCCTGAATTTCTACCCCTGAGCGGAAGTCGGCAAACGTGCGGATGAAAAAAAAAGGAAAAGATACAGTAAACAGTGAGCAGGAAGCTGGCTACAGTGAAATCAGGTTTGCACACGGAATTGCGAGATTCAGAGATTGATGGCAGGAACTGGAGAGCAAATCAACGGTCGGCTCCAGTATTCTCATGACGTGCATCTAGAATCCAGATACAATGCACACAGTGATTTGTGTGCCGAGTAACATGTACTGGCAGAAGTTTCTCTGCTGGCTTGCTTTGATTTCAATATGGTCCACTTTTTTCCTGTCCCTGGTTACATGTACGTCTACATGTACCGGGTACACATGCATAGGTCTATGATTTTGTAATTCTGATGCACTCTTCAATACAGTCGTCCTCCATGAGTGATTATGAACTACATGAACATGTACCTCCCGGTACATGTACCCAACAAATAAACATTGTTCGAAGACGTTTATGATAGCAGTATGGCAGAAGTACTTGTACCAGGGACGGGAAAATGTCACACTTTGGACCCTAAATACATAGGTGGCTTGTGCGTAGAGCACTCGCCTCGCACCACTGTGGCCCTGGTTCGATTCCTGGCCGCAGATCATACATGTACATGCCATGTGAGAATGTGATTTGTTGGCTAAAACTACGCACAGACTGCATCGTACCGGTACATGTATCCACAAATAATTATGATTAAACATTTTACAGGCCATTGTACCTGTAACTTTTCCAAGCTAATGTGTTTGGACAGACTTCCTTTCCCTCTCTGTTTAAAATAGATATTCTTAAAAAAACAAAACTGGAAGCTTTATTTCCACATATTCTTCAGTTCAACTGTGGCACAAACTGCCCTGTTGTGTGACCCAGTATTGCTAGCAGATAAAATGCAGCAACAATTGATCAGTCTGGAGAATTTACACAAACAGACAGATAAAATCTAATTAGGTCACGGCAAATTGCGACGACTCAATCAGAGGAGCCTTCGCATCTCTTTGTCCGCGAGTCCTCGGAAGATTTCCTTGAGGGAAGGTGAAAGTGAGAAAAAGTACTGTCGAACTCGACGGACGTCACACCATCCTGAAAGCAGGGTCCTTCAGTTCAGTCATCGAGGGTCTAGTTTCATCCCGGCTCACAAGAAACCTTAGATCAAGATCCTTCAGACTGGTCAAGATTTGAAGACGAGAAAATGAAGTTGTATTAAAAAGCCTTTGAAATCCCAATGCATTGCTTTTTTTCTCTCGTTGTGCGTGCTGACGGGGACTCTTTCTACGTCTTGGGATCAAGTAACAAATTGCCTTTAGACTTTCCCTGTTGTGACGAGGTTCTTAACTTTCTCGGAGCGAGATCAAATTTTAAAAGAGTCTTCTGTGGCGCTTGCTGGTTTATATCCCGTCGAATTGAGGGATATATAATCTGCCCCATGATTGGAACGGCTTTGTGACACACCAAGATAAGCAGTGTCAGATTTTGAGATTCTTGTTTCGATTTTGATTCCTTTTTTTTTCCCCCAGCGGAGGTTTTGTCTACTGTGTGTTTATGTACAGGTCTAGCATTTCAACGCTTGTAATTCACTCTTTTAAAAAATTGGTCTGTCCATGGTCAAGTGTCTGAACACACAATTTGCAAGACAAGATAACTTTTATTGGATAAAAAAATCAGGCCAAAAAACAGCATAATAAACAGAACTGTGTCAGCAGTATTTATTTTATTTTCTGTTTGTTCCTTTAAAATCATGCCCTGTTTTTTTTTCTTCAAACGAGTCCTCAAATACTGAAATCCTGTAGAGTTTCTTTTGGAGGGAGACTATGTGTGCGCAAATAAGAACATTTTAATTAGTAGACAAAAGAAATTTGAAAGAAACAAAGCAATTTTGTATATTGTCATGTTCCTTCTATTGATTCATTTGTTTGTAATAGGAGAGGGGAAAAGTACATGAAACTTACATGTAGACAAACTTGCTATAGACCTTTACCATGCTGCCACCATTTCAGTCTTGTTCCCTGTATCCATTAACAGTACTGAATGATAATGTTGTTTGTGCAAAAAGGAGCCAGACTATTTTTCCTTCCAGCCTCGCTTTGGTTACGTTGATTTGAATGGGAAAAATTCAAGATGGCCGCGACATGATAATGGTCTATAAAGCTGTTCCTTCATCCTACCGGGTACATATTTGTTTCTCTGAGATGACCGTTGCTCAACTTTGGTGGTATACGTGCAAAACTGTCTTTTCCAACCAATTGAGCTGACTGGCCCAGCAGTCTGCTCAATGATGCATTGATTATTTCTCGCTGATGAGTTGTTTGATAAGAAAACACCCCTTCCTTCCCTCCTCCCCCCCTCCCCCCCTCCCCCCCTCCCCCCCCCCCCCCCCCCCCCCCCCCCCCCCCACCTCCCACCTCAACTTCCTGTATGCCAGTCCAGGGAAATGCCACCCTCCGAAATCAATGGTAAAACAAGCCATTCCGGGCACTGGTTCCCTGGGGGGATCTGACAAATATTATTTTTACTCGCCGCGGACTGCAGTAGAATTAAGCATTCAATCAACAACTCGTCAGCGTGCGGTGGTCCGTACGGACCGAGGCAACTGATGAGGCTTGCGGTTCTGCGTGCTGCGCGCCTCCGCATGTAAATACGCTATCTAAACCCACGTTAACTACGTGCGCTGCGTGATTGCTTGTCGTCGTACGAGTACCTGTAATGTACACGAATGTGGTGTCACTTATAAAAACACTTGACTTCGTTGACTGTTGTTCGACTTCGTTGGCACAGTGCCAAGACTGAGAATTTCCCTCTCTAAACATTCTTGTTTTTCTGCACAGTGTGTTTATACTGAATCCAAATTTACGTACTTGATGGAAAGCTGGGATTGGAATTTAAAAAAATTATTTATTATTTCGTTTTGGAGATTTTATTCATGGACTATAAGAAAAGCACAAATTGGACTGACACAATCACAATGAAAGTATGTGTATCCAAAAACAAGAACAAAGAAAAATGTTTAATTTACAGACTATTCATTACTAAAATCCTATCTTCCCTACATCCTTCATCTAGCCTATTCACAAAAATGTCAGTTTTCTCAGCATTTCGAGCACTCAGCAGCCAACTTCTACTGCAACTTTTACTTTCAAATCCCAATTTTGTAAAACAAGTGTCGCTTGTTTTATTTTGGTGTACCGGTATTAAGGAAATTGCCTTGCAAGAACGCCCAGAGAATTAGAGTTAATGAATCCATCCATTGCCTGATCTCCCAGGGGGTTTAAGATGATCCAGGAATGATTATAATCCCATCAATCAGGGGTAACGATTTCATCAGAAGTATCTTAGCCCTTCAACAAGTGCTTCGCTGAAGTCATAAATGTCTGATGACTTTATTTTGAGTTGATCAGAGCTTGCTGGCGTTCCAATTATTCCAGGAACTCCAATTTCCTCTAACCAATTAAATTTTTTTCTCTGTGGTCCATTTTAAGTGTCATTTATGATTCTTGAAGGAGAAAAAATCTACTGAATTGAAACTACAATTGTTATGTACAACATTTGCTCTTCCTTTAATTTTCAAAAATGGATGGATTTCGGGGGTTCGTATTTTATTTAAGTAGCAACCGCAAACAAAATGTAGACTAACTACATTTGTTAAGGCAATATTTGAAGAAAAACAATTCCACTTTTCTTGAAAATGACAGCACACCAGGTGCCATGATTTCACAGGATGCTTGAGACTATTATTCACTTACAGTCAAGTAAGGTATTTCATGATAATTTGGTAGTTTTGGTTTTTGGTGTTTGCAAATGTTGTATAATACCGGTACCTTTAAACTGATTGAACAAAACCAAAATTCGTAGAGGGTTTTTCAGCAGTTTTGTTGTTAATTTTGGCTCCTAGAAAGAATTTGAAAAGGGGTAGGGAATGGGGTGGGTGGGGGTGTTAAAAGTGCCTTGGCCTTCAACAGCTGTCTTTACCACACTACACCTGTTGCACGGCAAAGATGTTTCCATAAAGGAGCAAAAATGCATTTAAATAATTCATGAACATGTACATGTATTGGACGCATGTGTGGTACCGTAGATTGGTAAAACTGTTATTGTCAAGAGTGTGTCTGTACACCTGTCACAGGTGGGTGAATCTTAGTTCCACAAATACTGACACCTGTTCTGTTTCTCCACAGAAGGATCTGAGTCTGTCCCGGAGAGGAAGGTAAATTCATTGCTTTAATTTGTTTTTGTAATTTTGACGTGGATTGATCGAATTCCATCACAATTTAAAAAGTGTGATATTTTATTTTAAAAATTTGGCAAATTTATTAAATTGAACAGGCTCCATATACTAATGAAGTCAGACGTACAATGTTTTTAAATAAAGGAAACATAATTTTTTTTTTAGGATTTTGAGTTGAAAATGAGCCATTTTGTCCTGTTTTTGTCTGGCAACAGTTACTGCAGTCGCTCAAGGAGCAGGAAAGACCGGTCACCTCAGAAGAAGCGATCTGTCTCGCCAGTATCACAAGGTAAACAAAATATAAAAATTGATACTTGGTGTGTGATTATCTTTTTTGGTTAATAATATTTTTTTTTAAAACAACATTCTGCAATTGTGAAACTAGGGTCATAGAAAATATAGATTACCAGCCGAAACGTCATGCAATATGTGATGCATATGACTGGTTCCCTGCTGACTGACGCTGGTCACAGCGAGATTTCTAAAATTTTGTGCTAAAAATTCAAATTTTGTTAGAATTATCTAACGAGAAGCCATCACTTACTGAAAAAAAAAAAATTGTGGGGATTACACAAGGAACATCAATGCCTTGACTTTTTTTTTTTTTAATGTGGGAGGTCGTGGTGATTTGAAGTGATTGATTGCCCCTAATTCCTGCCATCAATTCTGGTATTTATAAGATCTCATCTCAATGAACCAGCACATTTTGAGCCAGTCTTAGGAGGGGACTTACAGGCAGGAACTGACAAGAGCTTGACGGAGTACTTAAGAAGCAGTGAAATTCAATTAAGCCAAGAACGTGACCAACTTCAATCTGGTGCAAACCGATAACCGCATTATGGTTCTCAAACCAGCTCTGAAATTGCATCGTTGTATCAAGTCACCTATATAGGGTGCTCTAACATATCACCAAGAACATGGCGAACTTGAATCTGGTGTAAACCGATAACCTCATTACTGTTCTAAAAACTTTGCCAAACTTGCTTCGCTGTTTTGAATTTGTCTCTGATATTTGTAATGAATGTTACATTTTGTTATTGCCATGTTACACATTAGATACACTGTAAGTAAGTTGAAACATTTAACAGTATATTACTTCTCAAAGTTTGGGTGTTTTTTCCCCTCCCCAGTGAGCCCCCTCGATAGCCCTCGTGTCCCCCCTCATGGTGCAGCTGCTCATTTCCCCTTTGCTTCAGTGCGGCAGGCTGACGGTAGAAGATGGTCATTGGCTTCGCTGCCATCCTCTGGCTATGGAACCAACACGCCAAGCTCAAATGTTTCAGTAAGATCTTTACCTGTTGTGTTTATGTTTAAAGGGCATTTTTCTTTATCACATTTGTTTTACAGAAGTAATAATAATAATAATAATGCAGTGCTTATATAGCACTTCATACCAATGTCTTAAAGGGCTTCACAATTATTACCTCTATTCATCAAGCTATTAGACCTTTTTTTGCAGCTGCTCGGGATCAGTGCAATCTGGTCTCTACTTAAGCAGGTACCCATTTATACTCCTGGGTGGAGAGAGGCAATTGTAATAAAGTGTCTTGCCCAAGAACACAGGCACCATATTCCCCATTAGGGTTTGAACCCACATACATGTACCATGGCACAAGTTGAACACTGTAACTATTGAACTACAGCGCCCCACCATCAATGGTTACAAAGGGAGAGTTAGGCGGGGATAATTATATTGATCATCTACTGTACCTCCACCTTTCAAATTCTCTGTCCGTAAAGATGTCCTTTTTTTCCCTCTCTTCCTTTCACCCATCTTACAGTCCTCCTGTTCCAGCCAGGAGCGACTTCATCAGCTGCCCTACCAACCCACGGTGGAAGACTTGAACCTCTTGACCCAGCACCTCAGCGGTAGTGAGGGTAATGTCATGCTGGACGTAGAGGAAAGTGGCAGACGCTCGCCTAACTTTAGACCTCGCTCTAGAAGCCTCAGGTAAATAAACCCTCACAAACCTAACAAACCTCATAAACCTCTCAAAACCCTTACCCAGCACCTCAGCGGTAGCGAGCGTAATGTCATGCTGGACGTAGAGGAAAGTGGCAGATGTTCGCCTAACTTCAGACCTCGCTCTAGAAGCCTCAGGTAAATAAAACCTCACAAACCTGAAAATCCTCAAAATCTTCACACTGCTCACAAACCTCAAAATCCTCATAAACCTCAAAATCCTCACAAACATAGAAAATCCTCACAAACATAAAAAATCCTCACAAACATCAAAATCCCCACAAAGTTTGACTTGTTTATGAACTCCAGAATTTGGCATTCTAAAACCTCATTACATCAGTGGAAAGAAGCTGTATGACATGTTTAAATTGGTTTCTAAAACTTAAAGACGAAAAAATAAATTTGAATGGATTATTCTTGAAATCTTTTAAACCAAAAGGCGCATGATCTTGCTTGAAGTTTTTGCAATAATGTTTTAATTATGACAAGTTTCCAACAGCGGAAGAAATTATGTATGAATGGATGCTTCCCAAAATATTTCAAGATATCCGTTCATGTGATCATATCACAAGTCATCCTTATATCAGAGTCTTCCGCCATTTGAAACTTCAGATTTGACCAAAAAAAGCCCCTCCCCTCCAACTTCCCCTCAAAACAAACGGGGGATCTAATAATAAACTTCTCCAAAATGTGCCCGCTGGATTCATCACCGTGGTAACTTCATTTAAGCCTCTCGATTGGCTGAAGAGATCAGAGGAGACAGTATGTTCCCCTCGATAATCTAATTTCTATTTTTAAGCTGGTTAACCTTTTCAAAGGAGCGTCAAAGTGTAAGTGACAACTAATGTTAGTCGTTCAACCACATGATTTATAAAAACCAAGACTGAATTTTTTTTGTACGAAGGAGGAACACAGTTGAGATGCATTTGAAATTTCTGATGGAAATTGACAAGCAAAACTTGATGCAAAACTTTTTATTGGTACCGTCGTGAATTTGAGAAATAGAAGCTTAATCACATAAAATATACAAATCCTTAAAGTACTAGAAAGCCTGAAATCTTCCATCTTACCAGTAATCTTAATCGAAGGCAAAATCAAAGATTTGATAGAGTCTTATACAGTACGTACTGTAGCTCCCTTCAGGAATTGCAAATTTTGATTGTCCGAGTGGATACAAGCCCAATAAAACATCCTGAGCAAAAATTTGTGAATTTGAAATCTGAGTAGACGTTTGACATTTCCATCATCGTTTCAAATAACAAGCCATGCTGCGGACTCATCTTTATTGTATTTTAATCTGTTGCACATGTATAAACCTGACTAGCAGCAGGTGATGTGAGTGTGTTCCTTGGACTATCATTTCTTTAAGCAAATATTCGGGATGCAAGCTTCAGAATTAAAATCTGAAAATAAATTTGCAATTTCAGAATTTGATCCCCATGTTGAGATGGTCGTTAGTCATCTAGGTAGTTCTGACTCATGGCTTTTTCTTTCAAACCTCAATTGGTTGTGTTTCTTAATTGGTTGTCTGAGTTAATAAATAATGAATAATGTGATTCATATGTTTTATCAACTGACAGAGGTTAATTCTGAAATTTGAGAAGGCAAAATCGATCCACAGCGACGACGGGCTTAACTCACTCTTTATTCTTGAAACATTCAAGTGACTCATCTACCCTCAAGTTTTTCAGATGCATGATTCACTTTGCAATTGTGTTGCTTTTGTTTGCAGTTTAAATTACAATTACAAGTTTTTCTTTAAAAAAGTAATCCACAACAGCAATGCAAAATGTGGACCTCTGTGGTGCAAAGTTAGATTGGGTGATTGAGATTAGTTTCGTTTTTGTTGCTGACACGGACATACAAACAGTTGGGTCAGCTGACTTTTACCTCGGCTAAAAGCTAGCATGATACACATTTGCGATGATACAACCTGACCTTATGATATAACCTGACTTCGGGCAACCAATCATACCTATTTAAATGTGGACCCGAGTCCAGGCGCACTGCTGTTGTTTAAGCCCTGCCCCTCCTTAAAGTGTCGACTGGGGAAATCGATCATGTCAACTGTGATACTAGGCTTACAGGCAACTGTCTTGTGAAACTAACACCTAAGCATCTCTCTCATGGTAAACATGTTGAAACCACACATTATTAAAGAGCTAGACATGCAGGATAGAACAGTAATTTGAAGACACCCGGGACATGATCTATTGAGAAGGCTGAGAGCCTGTGAGAGCCTGCAAAGTGCGCTGACCTGAGGAACACACACCCCCCCCCCCCCCACGCACACACACACCCCTCCAAGTTTTGTACTTTTGTTCACCTCACGTTTAGTTTGCTCGGCAACAGGACTTGCACCTGCTCTGGCTTGTGATTAAGAAATGGATATTTGGCGACAGTATTCTTCCGTCTACGATGCGTATTCCTGAATTTAAAGACCCAATAAAAAAACAAAGAAATTTGGGCTGGATATAGAATTGCCACAATCCGAAGAAAAAAAATGTTAAGTGAAAACATAAACATAAAGTACAAGTAATACCCAATGCATGACATTTTCTGTGATAGAAAACAGAGGGTTTTTTCCCTCTTGTCTGTCAAAAGTTTGGCTGAGATGTCCGTTTGTGAAATTACAAAAAAAAAACTGTATAAGTTTTGTCAGGTGTATCTTTGAAGCAAGTTATTACAAGAATGTATTAATAGGTTCGATAAGGGTTCGTGTTAAAGTACATTGCTTTTTTAAGCACTATTACGGAGATTGCAAACTGTGTTTTTATCAGTGTTTTTTCTTGGGAAAAGTAAAGTAGCACTCTTGCAATTTCTTTGTTTTTGTTCTCATGTGGTGTCACATGTGATGATACTCTTGGCTAGCTCACAATATCAGATCCAGAGTTCAGATGTTTGGACCTCGGACTGTACTTTTAAATTTTTTTCATATCGTGAGAGATTAAATGTTTCACATGCACTGCTTTATCAGCTACAAATAGTTGCAAATCACGCTGTGATATTTTAAAGATTTTCTTAAGGGATTTTAGGGGTACATGTACTGTTTGCTGTGACATTTTGACCTTCATCAACATAGTTTGTTTTTTTGTACTGCAATGGAAATTTACATACACATGTAGTACACAAAATACGGTACATTCAAGCATCAATTTTTACATCAGAAAGATTGTAGTTAGTGTAGTGTCCATAAATCTCTAGAAATTTCACCGTTACTTTATTTATTTTTCTTTCTCTTTATTTGCTTTGATCATTGCATGCTGGCTTGTCAATGCCCAGTCTGTCATGGCTGTGCCTGCATGATATCCATGAGATACCTGCCAAAACAATTATGTAAGCCTCATCAGAAAAATTAATGTTCGTGGTAGTGAAAGTCACCAGGATTTTGTGTTGATTATGTTTTTTTTAATTTTTGAAATACATTTTGTGTAGTCAATGTGTAATGTGTATATTAGGTGTAGCGTTGTAAAGTGATGTGAGTGTGCGCACTGCATGGGCCGTCTTGACGATAACAAAAAAAATTGACGCAATTTTAAAATTAGAAAACGATTTAAATAAAGTAAAAGAGACAAAACATGTGCACGTACCTATCAGTTGATGAATTAAAAATTATGCAAAAACGTTCTCTCAAGCTTTTTAAAAATGTGTCAGGAAATTGACCATTTATTGCTTTTATGTATATCTCTTATTGGTTTCCCATCCGTTGCAGTTCAGATACATTTTTATTTTTTTACATTTTCTGCATAACCTCAAGCAAATTGTTCTTATTAAGTAACCATATGGCCTGACCTGACAGTTTCATGCAGACACATTCTTATAAGAGGAGTTATTAGACATCCACGATTCCATTTTATTGCTTGGATTCTCTCCTTTCCGTAATCTTCTTTTGATTAGTGATGTCTGCGGGAAACGGAAATCTCCTGCGACTATCATCTCAAATGCCCCCGAGACAAACACCTTTGCGATGTCTTGCAAAGGCTTGGACGCGCTTTTATTTTCCCAAATTCGAGCTAATAATAGTTGGAAAAGTCTCCTCACTCGATTGCTCAGTCTTGCCATTCCCCTCCCCCTAAGAATTCAGATTCATAGACGTCAATTTTCCATTTGAAGGCTTTAAATCTCATTTGCAATTTATTGGACTTCGCTGTCGTGTCGTCGGCGCTAGTTTAATGGCTTTCCTGTCATGGCTGGGAGGCCCTTGGAAGGTTTTCCGTTGCAGAATTAAAATTTTAATCCATCAATTGCTATTTGTGATCAATCACATACATGTATGCCACAATTTCAATGCAAGCTCGAGAGCAAACTTCAATTTAAAGGGAGCCATTGGTGCAAAATTACAACACAAGTGGAATGTTAAGAGGAAATATTCCCTTTCGATATTTTGATTGAACCCCCCCACCCCCCAAAATGTAGTAATTATATTGGGGGTAAAACATAATCAAATGGTTTCAGAGACAAATTTTCTGAGACAAATTTCCTTAGACAAATTTTCTGAGACAAATTTTCTGAGACAAATTTTAGACTTCAGTGGTTGCTGTATGGAGTCCACATTATTTGTATTATTATGGTAGAAAATTATGCATGTTCATGTATGTGTGGTTAAAATAGTGGCATATGAGAATACAGTACATTTTAAGACGCTAACAAATTATTGACATGTCTGTGTTTAGACAAATCTATTCACATGATAACTACACATTCATGAGGCCCCCTTCAATGGAGAAACCATTGTACATGCTATTGTACAAAGTAATTGCCTCGTGATTATCTGAACAATAGCTAGCACAATGCTTTCCCCATTGAAGGGGGCCTTCATGATAGAATTACAAGTGTGCCCAGATTGGTCTGAAGTAGCCACTAATACAGTTTCTAACTTGTGTTTGTAATCCATAGACTTGTACATATAACTAAGAAACTCTCCACCATTACTAACACCCAAATCTATAGGTACTGATTCAGCGTGTAGTTCGTGCCTGTACAACTCAACATGTATTTTTATTCCTTTTTTCCCCCTTACTGGTTGTTTTAGGGATCATGCCAAAAAGTCATGATATTAACAGCATGACTAAACATGCTCCAAAAATATGTTTCAAAATGAGGGTCATAAAAACCAGGGCAAAGAAACGTGGATTTTTTAGGGTCGGGAAAGTTTGTAGGAAGCCTGTCACAACTCTGACTGTACCTTTTTTTTTTTTTTTTTTTTTTTTTTTGACAGCGGAGCAAGCAGCCCTCTGATGAGTAACTCGGATAGTGAATTGATGATCATGAACAGTCTGTACAAGGAACGATTCCCCAAGGCCAAGGAACAGATGGAGAAGAAGTTGAAGGTAGGCACGCACTGGGCCCGTCTTGGCCCCCTCGTACTTGCTTCATTTCCTGGTGAAAACTTTCAAGGGGATTTTACTCATACCTGCTGTCCTATCCAACTGAGTTATTTCTCTGAGGTCTTATTGGATAGATTCTGTTTGACTTGTGACCTGGTTTCACCATTTGCATACATCTGATGCATGGATTATGTTATTTGGATCATGGCGGTAAGTACCCATCATGCACTGGGTTTCCTCGACAATGTTTTGGTTACAAATGAACAACTGGTACCCCGGCTGGGGGTGATTTGGCAGCCAATGCGTGTTTACTTTTGTATGCTGTGGACCAGCTGAATAAACTCTGTGCCCAATGACATACCAACGTAAAATTTCACCGGTAACTGTAACTCTGGAGTGTACATTGATTGATTGCACCGAGATGTGGACCAGTGAATTGTTTGATTGTGATTGAGCATTTTATTTTTGCAGGAAGTTGACAAGGCAAAAGAGCCATATGTCAGTGTTTAGGTCAGAGATTTTGGCCAAGTAGTTACGGAAAAAGCTCATCTGTCTTTGTAGAATTTGACAGTGTTCAAAGTGTCACATAAAATTCAATGCACAACCTGACAAAAAAAGGAGATTTTTATTCAAATTCCCTTGGCAAAGTGGACCAGAGTTTTATATTTTATAGAAATATCAATGAGCATTTTTGCTTAGTGTCATGTAGTTCATGATGTCAAATTTGTGTTTCTTCACATCCAGGAATTCATTAACAAGCATTCCTCGGACCAGATGGAAGCCAGCGACGCCATCTACATGTTCCTAGTGCATCATGCCATCGAGCTGGCTAGGGACTGTCTTGAGAAGTCGCAGGCTGATCTTCTGTCTCATGTCTACCTCTCTGAGATGGCCAATAAGCTCAAGGTGTTATCTGAGGATGTGAGTTTGACCAAGTAGCGCGGTCTCAGGAAGGGGAAGGGGGAAGGGAGTAGAAGTTATGATTGAAAGATTAGAAGGAAAAAAATGGATTGTTAAGTCCAGAGACCAGTGAGGGCAGCTCCAGAAATGCTGCAGAAAAAATTTGTAATTGAATAGCTCATTGGACCGCTGGACCCAGTGATTAAAGATTTCTAGTGCTTTCTACAACTTGTGGTCGATTTGTTTTCATAATGCTGATCATCATGTTAAATCCCAGAAAAGCTTCATTGTAAGTCACATTTTGACAAAGTAAAACGCTAATGTTTGTTGTTCCGTTTTAGCAGGCCAAGCATGAGCATAATATTAACAATGCAAGGCAATGTTCTTGTAAAATTTGTGACTTCAACCTTTTGAAATAAACACAATTTCAATTTGTCTTTTAACATGAAAATCAAGCCTTGTTCAGGCTTGCCAACTATGCAAGATAACTGTTACTTCTCCCCTGTACCACAAAAACTCCACATGCATCTTAATAATATTTGTTTCTTTTCGTGCATTTCATTTTTTTCAGGCGGAGCGACGGTCTGATGCTTCGGCCCAGGCCTTTGCTAGAGTAGAGAGGGAACTTCTCATGATCATCGCCAGGCCGGGTAGACTACTAGAATGCCTGGTGAGTACTCTGCAATCAAACTTGTTAACCTTTCTTTGAAAAAAGTCTTTGATACAGAAGTATGGTTTGAATTAGGATGAGAACACAAAGAGACATTCAAAAGTCTTTTATTTTTAAGAGTTACTGAAATAAAAAGGCACCTTTATTTTGAAGGGGACAGTTGACTGCACTGGCCCCCAGCCATTGATGATTTGTGTAGCTGCCTGTCATTCTGTCCTTGTTTTATCAACAAATTACCAAGAATTTGACCCTGAAATATTCAGTCTTGGTTTCTCCTTTCTGCATTTTTTCTAGGAATTTAACCCAGAAGAATTCTACCACATCTTGGAAGAGGCTGAAGGTCAAGTCAAGAATGTTGGCGGGTCAATCACCACGGAGCTACCCAAGTACATCATTGGCCAGTTGGGGTTAACCAGAGACCCGCTGGCTGATTTCTATGATGTCATGGTGTACGATGATCAACAAGGGTCACAACAGCATCAGCATCATCAGGAAGAGGATGAAGCAGATGAAACAGTGAGTTGTCTTGTTAAGAGAGGCTAGTTGATTTGGGGGGGGGGGGAGTAGTAGGAAATTGCCAGGAGTGTGGCCTAGTGGTTAGGATTTGTGTCTCATAATCAGAGGGTCAGGGGTTCGAAACCAGCTGCTGGCCATATGTTGTGTCCTTGGGCAAGCCATTTCAACCCTACTTGCCTCTCTCCACCCAGGAGTATAAATGGGTACTGGCATTAGCTGGGGAGTAACCTGTGATGGACTAGCATCCCATCCAGGGGGAGTAGAAATATTCTCAGTCGTTTCATGCTACTGAAACCGGAGATAAACGCCGGCCTGATGGGCCACATTGGCTCATGACAGACTTTACTCTCTACTCTCTAAATGCCAAACCAACTCGAATATAATCTGAAATTGCACGTGCCAGAGGTTACATAATGGCCTTGTCACCTGCAAGGTTGTACCCAAGTGTGCATTTTAATTTAAAAGAAATGTTGTTAAAGCAAATATTCTGATTACTGCTACACAAGCAGAACTATAATCTCCTGCAAATCTCACATCATTAGCCTGGCTACAGACTTTTTAAAATTCCTTTCAGGCAGTGTGCCAAAAATTGCTGAAAATAAGTTTATTTTCTTATTTTCTGTACTCTGTATAGACCAATCTGGGCACACTTATTAATTCTATCATGAAGGCCCCCTTCAATGGTGAATGCATTGTGCTAGCTATTGTTCAGATAATCCGTCGGGCAGTTGCTTTGTACAATAGCATGCACAATGGTTTCTTCATCGAAGGACGCACGAGTGTACAGTTAATATTGTGCCCGGATTCGTCTATAGACGACTCCCGTTAATACAAACTCAGCTGGGCCTAGCCAAAATGTTTGTTATATCACAATTTTGTATTAAGAGGACCAATGGTCGCATTCATTGCGCACATAAATTCAGTCGGGACAAAGGCTTTTTGTTTGTAATAACCAGAATTTGTATTAACAGTGTTTGTATTTACGAGAGTCAATTGCATAGAACTTGAGATCCTTGAAGATTGAGACGAAAGAGGGCACTCATCTGTTTTGATTATTCATGACAGGGTGACAGGGAGAGAAGACGAAGCAGTTTCAAGGATCCCGAGGAGAGTGACTTTGAGAATATCAAGATTATCAGCAATGGTGCTTATGGGTAAGCCATTAATAACAGATGGGCAGTATCTGAATCACGTGGCTACGGCTAACAGTAATACATGTGTCTATGGTAAGCCGTAGCCAGGTAAATTGGGTGCAGCATAAGTATGAATCGTTACCATAGGCAAAGGCCAATTTGCTCACCACAAGGAAGATATGCTAACCGCATTGGGTACCAACCAAAATGTCATGTGCTGTGTGTTGCTTTGGCCGGTTCCCAACCTGCTGGATATTTCCTTGGTGAGAATAGTTACTCAGCAATATTTTCTGCAAACCTACTCCAGACTGCAAAATTCTCTAAATGCTTTTCTGAAGTATCTGAATCAGACATCGATATTTTAAATCAAATCCAAATGCAGAATTCAATTCCATATGATTTTGATCGACTGGATTGAGTCAGGGGAAACTACAAATGACAGAAGGGTGGGGGGTAAGGTTATGATATTAAAAGTTTTAACCGGTGGGGTATGTACGGCTTAGTAACTCACCTGGGGTCTCGTGATAAGACCCCCAAGCCGTACCCTTCCCCCTCCATCTTTGCTGAAGGGGGTCACTGATACCCCTAGGGCTAGCTTACGGGATCCCCTGTCTGGGGTCTGACCCACCTGTTTAACCCTGTTTCCGTTTCTATTTTTCGCTTTTCCATTTCCCTGAAGCAAAGCTAAATGTCACGTTTTGCAAATCTGTTCTGAGAAAACTTTTGAGAAATGAACAAAACTACTGCAAGCTAATAGTAATACTACCCGGGATTGACATGAAATATACTATATTAAAAATGTTAGAGGGTCTAAATGGTTCAATTCTGAAAGAGTCTTTCCAAAAGCCTTTCAGAAAATTGTTTCATCTAGTTATTCTATTTTAGGTATTGCTTCTACCTTGCCATATCTCTGTAGCTGATTTTGTGTTCTATTTTCTTTAAAAATGTTCTTTAACAAGACCAGCTGAATGTCAAACTTTGTAATTCTGTGTTCTCCAAAAACTGTTTGAAGTTTTCTATTCAGGCCTTGCTTCTACCATATCCATACCTGCCAACTGTTCCGATTTAGGCGGAACTGTTCTGATTTTGGAGATAAAAAGTGCCCGAAAATCGGAACGTCCCGATTTTCCGAGTTGCGAGAGAAGAAATAATACCAAAAATAAATAAACAAATTAAAAAAATGCCCCGCGCCGTCGCACACTTGTCCGAGAAAAATGTTTTATTGTATTGAGGGTGCTATTGCCGCTACCATAATGGTATAAAATCCGCCTCGCTCTTATGTACGACGAAAGGGACGTAAACCAGACTCAAACGTCATCAAACAGACCATGTCCGAATTGGCTGCGGCTGCAGCCGTTTGCGCGCACAGGCTTGTGCGATCAGCCACAACCTAGCCGCAGCCAATACTGAGACCCGCTACGTCATCCGTCTGGTGTACTGCCTCTCTTGCGTGCTTACTGAATTAAGCGCGGGCCAGGCACGGCGCGGTGGACGTATTGATGCCATGTTTGTTTTCCACACACGTTGTTTCTTCATAGTCTTCGGTGGTTTTTCGTTGATATTTTGACCGTGCTGAGTCGCACTTTTTTTGTCAACGTTTTTGTATGAGCATTTCAACTGCAACATGGACCAGGAGGATGATACACTGATTGAGAAAAAGCAGCGATATGGTCAAAAATTCCGAGAGGAATATCGTGAAAAATTTAAAAATGTGTATTGCAACAGGCCTATGCACACCGTACAATGATGTACGAACTTTTCCAAATAAAATTGTACTTGTCACTGCTTGTACAGTGTACATGTACATGTAAAATGTATTACTGTGACTGAATATCTACATGTGATTAAACTGTGAAGCATGTAAGTCAGCAGTCATTTATTCTTAAATTGTAAAAATTTTTGATCAGCAAAAACCGGCTGGAAAATTCAGAAAATTATCCAATAAATAAGATTAGGCCTAGTGTCTGTTGGGTCTGCTTCTGGATATCATGTAACATTTTACTAGGCACATGTACATGTACATGTACTTAGTATGATTACCCCTGGACCCAACCCATTAGCGCGCACGCGCGCCTTCGCCGCTCACCGTGTGTGATGCGTAGGCACCCTGTTCCTCTTTCTGACTTTTCAATGTTGGCAGGTATGCATCAATATCTGATCTCTGGGTTTTCTCTTTAGAGAAATTTGTGACCAAAATTTGAATATCGACCTTTGTTCATGTTGTTTGGTTCATTCCTTCATTCCGCTTCATCTTGCAGTGCTGTCTACTTAGTCCGATACAAGCCTACGCAGCAGCGGTTTGCCATGAAGAAGCTCTGGAAGCACAACCTAGCCCTTCGCAACCAGGTGGATCAAGTCTTCAATGAGAGGGATATCCTGACGTTTGCTGAGAATCCGTTCGTGGTCAGCATGTTCTGCAGCTTTGAAACTAAGGTAGGACTGCGCTCAGTAATTAACCCTAACTCCCTAGGCCTTTTTGCTAGGATGTAGCCTCAATCCTGCAAAATTCTCCAATTGGCCTCATGGGAAAATATAGTATATAGCTTCAATCCGGCAAATTCCTCCATTATTTCTTGAATATGGTCCGTGGAGGGGTGACCACTGCCTGAATCCTGCAAAATCCTGCGGCAGTGACTGTTAATATGTTGAGGCTTGGCCAGTGACATCCTGGAGCAGTGCGGAGGATTTCAAGCATAATCCAGGCCTATATTTATGCATGGCTGAGCAAAAACAACACAAGGTCCGGCCCAAGACCTTGACAAAGTGCATCCTACGAAATCAGTAACACACTTTTGCTATGTAACCTCCATCCTGCAAATTCCTCCACTTTGGCAAAGAGGATTTTGAAGGATTCAGGGCGGTTACTGTTAATGAGATAGAATAGCAAACAAGAAGGGAAGGGGTGAATAAACGGGGATTTTAGGATTTTAGGAAGTGTTTAGCCGAGTGTATCAATCTAATGTAGTGTTCTCATTTTTCTTAACAGGACAACCTTCTTTAAAGAGTACAAATAAAAGCAGACTGAAAATAAAATGTCTAATTTTTACATTGAAAACATCATTTTTATTTAATTCCCTCACAGAAACACCTGTGCATGGTCATGGAGTATGTGGAGGGAGGGGACGTCGCTACACTCCTGAAAAACATCGGTCCACTACCCTTTGAAATGGCCAAGTAAGATTTGAAATCTTGTCTAATCTTCTCGTAATAGCAACTTTTTTCCCAGATGTTTTGCTTTCTATACTAGCATTTCATATTTCACTGGTTCCATTGGTGTCCATGTGTTGACATTGAAAATGCATACCAGCGAATCAGGCTGGTTAACTTCCTAGCCAGTCCATATTTTAGACGTTAATAGGCATTTGTGAATGGAGTCCTTAGCATTTTTCTCTTTATTGTACTGTTACCCTTTTTTTAACCGTTTCAGGCTTTACTTTGGAGAAGCCATCTTGGCGGTGGAGTATCTCCATAGTTACGGCATCGTACATCGTGATATCAAGCCAGACAAGTAAGAATTACATTTTTTACAAATATCTGGGTAAATTTGTGAGATGAATAAAACAAACAGTAATGATGAGGTTCATCATTAACAAAACAGGAAAAAAACAGTGAGAACTATTTATATTTATAATCTATCATTTTTTCCCCCCTTAGTTTGCTTATTACGTCTACTGGCCACATCAAGCTGACAGATTTTGGTCTCTCCAAGATCGGACTCATGAGCTGTAAGTTTATTAAATTTCATCTATTTTACAAAGATTTATTAAAAATGATAACAAATGAACAGAACTAACCAAATTAGTATTCCCAACAAGCTTTACCCACTTGGAACACCCATGCTCAAATTTGTATCCTTGTGGAGACATCACTTTGTTCTAGTATACAAAATCGTGAGAGGGTCGAAAGCTATTTTTCAAAATGCTCCTATTTTAACTAGAATTACTTTCCTGGGTTGAAATTCCGACCAAATAGCCCTTACATAAAATACTTTGCGACGGATAAGTATACTTTGGAAATTCCTAGTTTTTGAGTAAAATCCATATAGCTATTTCGTGAAATCCTTATGGAGACCTATTCACCTTTAGAAGTTGCCTTGTGGAGACCTTTACAATCTTCTGTTCCGTATTATACCCGGGTCTCCACAAGGCATCATTTTTCGAAACATCCTGGGAACGCACACAAGAACATTCACCTATGTGTAAGCATGCTAATTAATTTTACGAAAGCCCATTCCAGCAAGGAACTTGCTTTGAATACCGCTTGTCCAAAATGGAGCATGTCCAAATTGGAGCATGTCCATAATGAAGCATGTCCGAAATTGGAGCATGTCCAAAATTGGAGCATGTCCAAAAGGGAGCATGTCCAAATGGAGCATGTCCAAAATGGAGCATGTCCAAAATGGAACATGTCCAAAATGGAACATGTCCAAAATGGAACATGTCCAAAATGGAACATGTCCAAAATGAAATGTCCCAAGTTCAAGAAATTCTCCAAACAGTAACTTTCACAGAAAACATTGTGGACATTTGCCTGGAAACAGTTCTTCATAATTTTTTGTTTTCCTTTTTGTTTGACAGTGACTACAAATTTGTATGAGGGCAGCGTCGACCACGACACCAAACTCTTCATTGACCAGCAGGTCTGTGGGACGCCACAGTACATCGCACCGGAAGTCATCCTGAGACAAGGCTACGGGAAACCAGTCGACTGGTGGTCTATGGGAGTCGTCCTGTTTGAGTTCTTGGTCGGTTGTCCGCCGTTCTTTGGCGCTACTGCGGAAGAATTGTTCACCCAAGCTATCAATGGTGAGTAGAGATAAAGAATAATTTGTCTGGCAATAGCTATACAAAAAAAACAGTGATAGAAGACCAAAATGATAATATGGTATATCATAAGTAAAAAAATGTTTGTCGTCTGTCATGTAGTCTAGCTCCCAAGCTTCACTGGGTGTATACCCCATGATTTAGTCCGGTGTTAACCTTGCCACTCAGGCCATGTCTCAAATGACTTGGCTGCAGCATATAATTGCACACATGTCTGTGGTAGTGGCTCGTGTGCAATTTTAAGCCTTGGTCAAGTACTTCGGACACGGCCTGAGTTTCTGAAAGGTTCGTCTGGTTCCCAAACTTCACTTTGTACAAGCCTTCCCTTTTTTTTTCAAATGACTGGTCTGGTTCCAAGTCTCACTCAGTAAGAAACCTTACAATTTAGTCAGCTGGCTCCACCTTCACTTGGGGTAAATCTCGCAAGCCAGCCAGACACTCAAATTAGCACTGAGTTCCTTAGTGCCCATCTGGTTCCCGACCTTCACTCAGTGTATACCAAGCCATTTAGCCAGGTTCTAACCTCAACCTCTCTTTCCTCTTTTCTCTAGTTGAGATTGATTGGCCGGAGGGAGAAGACGCCTTACCTGACGACGCCCAGGACCTCATTATCAAACTCCTCCAGCAGAATCCATTCTTTCGTCTTGGCACGGGAGGCAGCCATGAAGTCAAGGAGCACATCTTCTTTGCCGGTGTGGACTGGGGCTCCATGCTCCGACAGAAGGCGGAGTTTATTCCTCAACTGGAGGGGGAGGACGACACCAGTTACTTTGATAGTAAGGCTCTATAATCTTGATCGATAGAGGGCGCTGTTCAATTTAATCCAGCAACCTCCATGTGCAGGTTGTTTGCATGCGCTTAATCCTCTTTTGAATAGTAGGGTTGACATAATATGAGCATGCCTTAAATTTAAGAATGCATGCAATGTGGGGTCGAAATTTGTTTTATTTTAAGAAATATTTTGCTACCTAGACGTCTACTTTTATAACACGAACCCTAAGGGGGAGAACATGAATTTGTGATGTTGCCAGTTTTCAACACAATTTTAGCAAATTATGTTGATTTTTTGGTGGCGTTGAATTTGCTTTGCATATGCAGTACAAACTGGCTTTAATCCTAAATTGAAGAAATAATTCAAGTCGATACCATTCCTCCTTTCAGCTCGTTCCGACCGATACAACCACGAGTTAGATTCAGAAGAAGACGAAGAAGAAGACACGTTAGAGATCGGCAACTTCACGACGTTCTCCCCGCGCTACAACCGTTCATGCAGCAGCGTATCACAATCCTCGGATGACTCAGAGCGTCGGGAACGTTCCCTGAGTGCCCCTATGCCTATACCAAGCTTTGGTGCGTCGCCTCCGTTATCCCATGACAAGGAGAGCGGGGGACATTCGTCTGTTCCAGTCAGAAGCAAGAGTGAGAAGTTACCAGCTGGCGAGCATCCTGTTGTTGTCAGGTAAGACACAAAAGTATAGCCAAACGAATCAAAAGTCAACAAGTCAAATCACTTGTCAGTCACAAGCAAATCCAGTCGGGTCACAAGTTAGGGTGGCACGGGTGGCTTGTGCGTAAAGCGCTCGCCTCTCACCAAGGTGACCACGGTTCGAATCCTGGCCGCGGACCCGGCCTGGCCGCGGATCACATGCATAGCTGCCAACTAGTACGATTTTTTCGTAATTATTACGAATTGTTTGTTAAATTATGAAAATACGATTTGCCTCTAAAACATTACGAATTTCCCATTTTCTACCTAACGAAAAAAAAATACTTGTAAAGTATCGTTTTTGACCAAAAACTTCTGGCGAAATGTCGCGATAATGGATGGACTGGTGACAAGTCTAATAAGAATGCAGTCAAGCACCTGATAGACATCAATGCAGTGTGCGCAGTGGAGTACTTTAGGACCAGACTAAAAATATTTTTCAATGGTGTGTCATTTGTGTGCATCTCGTGGATGTGTGGTTGTGTGTACTGTATCGTGTATGTGAGTACTTTTCAGTGACGATCGTGAGCACTTTCAGTCGCTTATTGCCCGAATGAGACCCATCAGTGCGAGATTTTAATCATGGAATTTAATAAGAGTATGGTTGGAATAATTGGTAATAGAGTTTGAGTTTATCACAACGGACAGAAAAGATAATCAGCATGCGTTTGCAAGGTATGTTGGCGGGATATTTCTATTGCATACGGTGGCCCTAAATCATTGTGTGTAAAAACATGATACGAACTCGAAACTACACATCGATAGCATGCATCTCAAAAAAAATATGCGCACATGTTATTGTTGTTATTATTTATTTGACTTCAACAAACAAATACAGACATTAAAACAAAATTAATTTAAAAAAAACTTTATTTTATTTTTTTTTATTATTTTTTTTTATTTATTTATTTTTTTAAAATTATCTTTTGGCCTACAGTACATTATTATTCACAACAAGAAGGGTATGCACATGTATGTGTTCATGTAAACCATGTACCTGTACTCGATGTTGGTAAAGCTTTTGATAAAACGAGAAGTTGAAAATGACCGCGCGGGTTGATTACTAATTGGGATTTTGAAAAGTTGGCAGCTATGCACATGTGAGTAGAGTTGTGCGTTGGTTCTCTCCTGTGCCACGAGGGTTTTTCTCCGGTCCCTCCGGTTTTCCTCCCTCAGGAAAAAATCAAACACTTTCGATCTCAGGCTGTGCTCCGTGGTCATATATGGGTCGATGTGGCTGGCAGCCATAGGCGCCTTTACGTGCCAGCGGCCCGACCACGTTGTAGCCGCGTCCATCGCAATTTAGCATCCCAGCTTTAGTAAGGATGATTAGATTCCCAAATTATTATTATTATTATTATTATTATTATATTAAGTAACGGGGGAAGTCAAAATTCATTTCAAGAGTGTATGACTTGATTTTAGAATGAAATAGTAACTGCTTTCAAAGGAAGACTTGTCTGAGCAGTATATTTTTTAAGTTAAAAATTAACATTTACCAATTTCCCCGCAAACATTCTAGAAGATCAATACAAATTTTAACTCATATTTGGACCAGATTTACGTTTAAATTCTTATTTTGCTCCTCCTTTAGACGACACAGTCACAGGTCTGGTGACCCGATCATCATGGATTCCCTACATGCTTCAAATGAGCTGACACCAGACTACTCCCCACGTACACATCGCCGACTTGCCCGTAAGCCAGGATTGAAGGACGTCTTGCCCCGATTCTCCATCTCCTTAGAGGAAGATGGTCCCTCAGGGACATCATCATCCTCTAACGAGCCACAGTCTTCGTCACCTAGCTTGTCTAAAGATGGAAACAGTAGCTCTGGTAGTCAGGGGAGCTTGACTAGCGTGGATCAGGCAGGACAACGGCCGGTGATCAAATCAGCCTCGTCTGGTACCTTGTCTCTCATTATCCCAACAGGTATGTCATCATGTCATTATCAGCGTCAAGTATATTCCTTGAGAGACATTTCCAGATATACCATAAGTCATCCGATGAAAACATTTATTCCTTTGCACACCAGTTTTCATCGGTTGCTATTGATACCATTTAGCACTCCAGACTCAAGAGCCATTGAGTTTCAAGATCATAGGTCTGGGAACTAGTTAAGCCAAGGTAAAACATTCCTGGATGCCCGCGCCCACCTATAGGGAGGTTGTTCTGTGCAGAACCACAGATGTTTACTTGGCATTCTGGTCACAGATCTTGTACCATTCAAAGATACCGACAGGACAGTTGAGTCAATACCTCTGGTTCTTCACGGAGCCAAACTTCCCTTAAAGATGTGTCACATGATGAAGCTTTAAATTTTTCCAAACTTGTTCTCGTCGCTTTGCAAAGTCTCAAAACACATTTAGATCACAGCTGTTCACAAAAAAAGTCCTGTTTAGCTAAATACTTTAACCCATCTGTATCACCCCAAACCAACCCGGCACTGTACGGCTTTATTTTTTTAACAGGGAAATACAATGTAATACAATGTGATACAATGTAATACAATTTAATAAAATGTAATGAAATGTAGTAGAGGCCCTAATGGGTTAAGAAAGTCAGTGCTTAATTTCACTTAATTGTCTCCTCCAGGTGATGAGCTTCACGTCCCCTCGCCTCTCAACTCCCCCGGTGAGTCCAGCACAAGCTCCAGGGACGGCACAAGCTCACGAGACGGCTCGCCATCCCGCGACTTCTCCCCGGCAACAGGACCTCTCAAACCACCCATCGTCATTAGGAAGTTCCCACGGCGACGGAGGTATGGATTCCAGATGAGAGCCATCCGGGTCTACCTGGGAGAGAGTAACGTCTATACCATCCATCACTTGGTCTCGGTAAGTTGAGGAGCTCAGCAATATTAAAGATGAAAGGTTAACAAGCTAGGGGACCTTGGCATTGTAAGTGGAGTACGACCTGTTATGATTTGTGAATCATGAGCAGAGGGTCGGGGGTTCAAATCCAGCTACAGGCCATATGTTCTGTCCATGGGCAAGCCACTTTACCCAACTTGCTCTCCACCCAGGAGTAAAAATGGTTAACGGTATAAGCTGTGGAGTATCCTCCAATATCAACCGGCAGAAACGCAACTCAACATTCACTTGGAAATCTGAATGCAAAGCTTACTGTAAACTAGAAAACCATGCCCATCCAAATCCGACAAAAAATCCAAAGACTCTGGTCGTTCGTCTTCAAAAGGAAAATAGAACAGACAATTTTTTTTCTTTTCCATATTGCTTTTCTTTTTTGCCTGCATGTTTTAAATGGTGGAAAAAAATCTTATAAAAGCGCATGTGTATGATGAAATAAAAGTGGCAATTTTCATAAATAGAGATATATTTAATCGCAACTCAACATTCACTTGGAAATCTGAATGCAAAGCTTACTGTAAACTAGAAAACCATGCCAATACCAATCACTTACTCTTACTTCCTTTTTCAGAATGTGGAGAAGCAGAGCCCAGCGTACGAAGCCGGTCTGAGGCCGATGGATCTCATCACTCACATCAACAACACCCCAGTGGAAGGTTTGATCCATCGCGACATCCTTGAGCTCATGTTAAGTGATGAGAACCAAGTCATTCTACGCGTTGTTCCGTTAGAGAACACCACCATTAAGACTGGCAGCCGACGTCACACACTAGCTGGAAGTAAGATGGCACGACGTCGCAAGAAATCCAAGCGTCGTGACACCATCGACAGGAAACGTCGGAGTTCCATCTATCGCCGGCCGAGTCTAAGGAAGGGTTCTGCTGATCAGGTCTCCCCACTGGCACTGTCTGGGGGTCGCGGTAGCAGCATGGTGACGTATCGTTCCCCATCTTCTAACGAGGCTTCCCCGCGATCACCAACTTTGATGAAATCTCCTCGTTCACCGCCGATATTCCACCCTCCTCTTGAGGCATCAGTCAGCTCTCCTATCAACCTCTCTCAGAGTTCCTCGTCTGGTTCCAGCTGCCCCAATTCCCCAGCTTCAATGTCGGCTTCATATTCCTCCTCGCGGCCCAGCTCTCTGCAGGGACTTGCTCACAAGCTGCCAAGAGTTTTCCACAAGAGCGGGCATCGTAGGAAATCTGTCGGTCACATCCCTCTGTCCCCCTTGGCTAGGACTCCGAGTTCATCTCCAATCCCAACATCACCGGTTAGGACTCCGAGTCCACTCACTATCGTCACAAACATGGGTCATTCTCCTGGAAGCTCCAACACGACACAGACTTACCCAGCTCATGGCCTGGCTAGCCCGACCTTAACAGCCCCAATGAAAGCCAAGCCCAAGAAATTCATGCGAGGGAAGAATCTGGATACTCCTCCTTCACCGCTGCTGCGTCGAGCGCTGTCTCCAGAACACGAGAGACCAATGACGGACTTCTTTGCCATCCAGCCTAGACATCGAGCTGACTCGGGAACAGACTGCGTACCGATCCCAGATATCATTGAAGTCTCAGAAAAAGTCAAGGTACCAGACCAGCCCAAGGATGACAACGTTAAAACTGACAAATCAAAAGTTGACACTACAATTGCAGAGAAAGGCAAACAGGAAGTCAAAGAGAAGCCAGAAAAAGGCAAGAGCACCGAAGCAGTCGCTGTCGAACCTACAAAAGCGGAAAAATCCAAAGGAGAAAAATCCAAGTCGGAGAAAACAAAATCCAAGTCTGAAGATGGTCCTGCTCCTGAGAAGTCTAAAACCAAGCAGGAGAAAGGCAAGTTAGATCGGAGCAAAACGGAAGATAATTTGATGTCTGACAAGTCACGGCAAGACAAGGGCAAACAGGAGAAGACCAAAGTAGAGAAGAGCAAATGGGACAAGTCGAAATCCGACAAAAAATCCAAAGACTCTGGTCGTTCGTCTTCAAAAGGAAAATAGAACAGAAAATTTTTTTTCGTTTCCATATTGCTTTTCTTTTTTGCCTGCGTGTTTTAAATGGTGGAAAAAAAATCTTAAAAAGCGCATGTGTATGATGAAATAAAAGTGGCAATTTTCATAAATAGAGATATATTTAATCGCATTCAACATTCCTAGCCTTAATGTATGTGTAATGTTTTGTGTAAATTTAATGTTGTGGTTACTGCCTGTACAGAAATATCTATCAGAATTCTAAAATTGTAAATAGTGTTATTGCTAGTATTGACGCTGCGACGATAGCTTTAATAGTGGCCTGTCAGTTAAAAATAAAAAAGTGAAGTTAAAAACCAAAAATGGATTTTGTCACTCGTGACCTCCTCAAAATCAGATTTTGTATTTTAGGCCAGTCTCAATTATTTTAGTTATTTGAACGGCCTTAGTTTCGGCCTGACCCTCCCACCACAACTGTTGCGCCCTCTTTTGGCAGAAGAAACATGTTTTGACTGCCAGTTCCCTGATTTGAATTTGAATAATTGACTGGATTGCAGCTGAGAGAGGAGGAACGCGGTACTCTCCTTTTTTGCGTGATGAGTTTGTTTGCAAAAAAAACTTTGTGGGCAAAAGTTCCAGAGGAATGTCAAGTTTGCATTGTTCCAAGTGCATCATGTATCCAAAAATTTGCATGAATTTCATTAAACGGTTGTCTACAAAAGAAAGAAAAAAAGACAAAATATCAAATTAATCAGGGTGCATTTGTGTAAATACAAAATGTGTATATATTATCTATTATAAGTACTCAAAGTATTGATATGTTTACAGTTTATTGATCGAATTGGCGTTAATAATTAATCGAATATTTATTAATGGAATGAAATCTGATATGGTCAGTTTAAGTTTGATTTGTGGAAAATTCTTTTCTTAATCTCTATACATCCACTTTATTTGTAACCTGTGCACTTTTTAATATATCTATCCTGCACTGGCTAGTTTATCATAAAATAGTCCGGTACCCTATGAGGTTCGGACCCATGTGATAGTGTTATTTACTTTACGACTGGGAAACTAGACAAGAATGGAGGCAAGTTCAAAATATCCAATGGCATAGTGTTTACATAGCACTGGTTCCCGAGCATTTTCCCTTCAATTTACATAGAAAGATTTGGTCACCACTGACACCTAATCATACCGTTCAAGAAGGAGCACTTTTGTCAGCAATTGTCCAATTAAAATTGTAATTTAATCAAACAATTGTAAACTTTAAGTTTTGCACTTGTAAGACTTGTAAGTAACGCTGGCTAAATAACATTGATCTTTGTTTAGTTTACATACATGTATATGCATGCGCTCGATGTATAGAATAATGTCCTTTCATTATTTTTCCCATGCTAAGAACAATCACTTTCAAAACAATTGTCCAAATATTTGCCTGTAATTTGCATTTATGAATATGCAGTGTGCACTGCCATCTACACGTGCTCACTTTTAATCTTAATATTCATAAAATGTCCGAGATTCAAATTGATTTGAACTGCCCTGTCTTGTTTCAGTAAAAGTTTGGTCCGTGTAATAATTATCTTCATGTTGTAAGCAAAAATGTCAGAATGGTGTCGTTGGGTTACCAGCTAGAAATGCACAAAGTAATCAATGAACTCAAATTTGTTGGTACCCTGCCATTGTGAATATATGCGTAGTAAGCACAACCTCGTATCCATGTGGCCTTATATTGCTATTTTATTCTGCTCAATTGTCAGTTTTCTTGTTTTGTTTTTCGTGTGTGTGACAGCTTTCAAAAAAGCTTTTGTAAATAAGTATACAGAATGTTATTACTTTTGTGATTTCTAGATTTGTTTTATTCCTCAATATGATTTAAGACATTTTAACGAAAACGGGTTGAAGTGGAAATAGCACAAATTGTTATCACAGAAGATTGATTTAGTGAGGAGGTAGATAATTCTTCTTTGCAAAGAAAGGTACTTCTCAATTCACTTCATTTGGTCACCGCTGATTAACAGACATCCGTAAAGAAACTTGTAAAACCTCCTTGAAAGTTTTAAGGTGGATGCAGGCCGGGGGGGGGGGGGGGGGGGGGGGGGCTTCTTAGTTCCTGCTTTGCCCTTCGCCTTGTACCATTATCACTATCGGTGAATATGGAAGAAACAAAAAATTGGTTTTGGATATTATCAAACAGAAGTCCGGTGAAAATGAGTTTTGTATAATTTGCTCTGTATTGATATAAAGGTCAGTTTAATTAAAAATGTAAAAAAAAAACCCATATTTTTTGGGGGGTGACATGTAGTGGAGATTTTGGTGAATGCAATTAGAAACCATCTTATTGAATACTGGGCATCTTGTTTTCTTCTGAAGTTGGCATGAACCAGACACTGTAGTACTACGAGTTATGTTAGGTCGTCTCAACAATTGAAATATTCTGCAAGATGGCTGTTGCTAAAAACTGTAACCAACCCGCAGGTGTCGTGGTTCAATCTGCTAAAACGTTGTTCTGTGTCTAGCGGTCGCAAGTACTGTATCCTTAACTCAGCCTTCCAACATATGAAGGTTACACTATAACCTCCCCAGTTTTCCCTCCCCCTCCCCTCCCCCCCACCCCTCCCTCCCTACCTCTCCCTCCTAAATGAACTGTACCTTTACCAGTTACCTATTGGACTGTATTTCAAACCAATCTACTGTAAAAATGGTTCTATATGACAATTTTTAATCCTTAGATTTGTACATATACTTACGTGGTGCGATTGCATTGGGTTGTATTGGGTTGTTTATTTTGCTGCTCAGCATTTTGCTTTGTATAAACTATTTGGATGTAAATCTTAATTATTATTATGCATTTTGTATATGACTGTTAAATAAAAGAAAGCATTGATCCGTATGGCTATAAAACTAGGTGAGTAAAAATTCCTTTTATTTTGTTTGTTGTGGAATGTTTTGCAATGTTAATCGTTGCCAGCAAATTGATACTAACTTTCAATATCACCATTCATTAAAAAAAAATGGTCTTTTAAGTTTGTTTAAAAATTCCAAGGGGTTAACTTTGCACAAATTATTTTTCATTCCATAACCAAAAACCCCCCGAAAACTCTTTCCTACAATGACAATTATAGTAATACATTTTTATCACAGAAACCATTTTAAAACAAGTACAAGGGGTAACATTGCATACTTTTTTACAAAAAAAAGGATGATATAAATATTAAAAATGGATAAACAGCTCATCCACAAACCATTGGGTCAACTATAGCAAGGGGTTAACCCTGCACACAAAATGTCGATCGAGAAAGCAGTGGGAAAACTGGTACAGTCAAAGAAGATTTTTGTCGTAAATTGCACTGCAAAATATGAATCTAAAATATTCACAATTCAAACTAAAATTTTATCAAAAATTTGCTGGCACTAGTAAAAAGCAATGATAAAGAGTTCACCTGACACTGAAATAATATAATTTCTTAAAAACAAAAGAGGCAAGGGGTTAACCTTGAACAAATGTACAAAATTAAAAACAATGAGTAGCCAATCTTATATTTCTAACGAGACCATTACATGTAATTATATTACAGTTCAAACAAAAGCATTGTTGTCAAATTGGCAAAAGTTGCAAGGGGTTAACCTTGCATAAACAAAATTATTAAACTGTAAGGGTTTAACATGATATTTGCCCGAATCTGTCAAAATGTGGGTGTTTGAATAATGATTCATGCTCCACTCGTCTCCAGAGGTATTTCTGCATTGTTTGGAGAAAAGTCAATTTTTGACCAAATTTGGTTAAAAATGTAAGGCTAACCCCTTGGTTTTTTTTCAATTTTGGCCAGAAAATGAAATTCCTTGAAACTTGCAGGAAAGATGCCTAAGGTAACCCTGAACACATTCCAATTCGATTTGGGAACAGATGTGCCTTTGAAAAGAAAATTTGGCCGAAAATTTGGGGTAAAACAGTCAAAAACGTAGCCCCTAGCGGTACGTCGCCTCTAGCGGTACGTCGCCTCTAGCGGTACCGTACCGCTAGGGGCGACGTCGCCTCTAGCGGTACGTCGCCTCTAGCGGTACCGTGCCGCTAGGGGCGACGTCGCCTCTAGCGGTAACGTTAAAAATGTAAGGCTAACCCCTTGGTGTTTTTTTCAATTTTGGCCAAAAAATTAAATTCCTTGAAACTTGCAGGAAAGATGCTTAAGATAACCCTGAACACAATCCAATTCGATTTTGGAACAGATGTGCCTTTGAAAAGAAAATTTGGCCGAAAATTTGGGGTAAAAACAGTCAAAATTCGGTTTTATTAACATGCATTTCCTCCTCCAAAAATGGATGATATTTGCCCGAATCTGCCAAAATGTGGGTGTTTGAATAATGATTCATGCTCCACTCGTCTCCAGAGGTATTTCTGCATTGTTTGGAGAAAAGTCAATTTTTGGCCAAATTTGGTTAAAAATGTAAGGCTAACCCCTTGTTTTTTTTTTCAATTTTGGCCAAAAAATGAAATTCCTTGAAACTTGCAGGAAAGATGCTTAAGATAACCCTGAACACAATCCAATTCGATTTGGGAACAGATGTGCCTTTGAAAAGAAAATTTGGCCGAAAATTTGGGGTAAAAACAGTCAAAATTCGGTTTTATTAACGTGTATTTCCCCCTCCCCAAATTGGATGATATTTGCCCGAATCTGCCAAAATGTGGGTGTTTGAATATTGATTCATGCTCCACTCGTCTCCAGAGGTATTTCTGCATTGTTTGGAGAAAAGTCAATTTTTGGCCAAATTTGGTTAAAAATGTAAGGCTAACCCCTTGTTTTTTTTTCAATTTTGGCCAAAAAATGAAATTCCTTGAAACTTGCAGGAAAGATGCCTAAGGTAACCCTGAACACATTCCAATTCGATTTGGGAACAGATGTGCCTTTGAAAAGAAAATTTGGCCGAAAATTTGGGGTAAAAACAGTCAAAATTCGGTTTTATTAACATGCATTTCCTCCTCCCAAAATGGATGATATTTGCCCAAATCCGCCAAAATGTGGGTGTTTGAATATTGATTCATGCTCCACTCGTCTCCAGAGGTATTTCTGCATTGTTTGGAGAAAAATCAATTTTTGGCCAAATTTGGTTTAAAATGTAAGGCTAACCCCTTGTTTTTTGTCAATTTTGGCCAAAAAATGAAATTCCTTGAAACTTGCAGGAAAGATGCCTAAGGTAACCCTGAACACATTCCAATTCGATTTGGGAACAGATGTGCCTTTGAGAAGAAAATTTGGCCGAAAATTTGGGGTAAAACAGTCAAAATTCGGTTTTATTTACATGCATTTCCTCCTCCAAAATGGATGATATTTGCCCAAATCCGCCAAAATGTGGGTGTTTGAATATTGATTCATGCTCCACTCGTCTCCAGAGGTATTTCTGCATTGTTTGGAGAAAATTTAATTTTTGACCAAATTTGGTTAAAAATGTAAGGCTAACCCCTTGTTTTTTTTTCAATTTTGGCCAAAAAATGAAATTCCTTGAAACTTGCAGGAAAGATGCCTAAGGTAACCCTGAACACATTCCAATTCGATCTGGGAACAGATGTGCCTTTGAAAAGGAAATTTGGCCGAAAATTTGGGGTAAAACAGTCAAAAACGTAGCCCCTAGCGGTACGTCGCCTCTAGCGGTACGTCGCCTCTAGCGGTACCCGTACCGCTAGGGACGACTTCGCCCATAGCGGTACGTCGCCTCTAGCGGTACGTCGCCTCTAGCGGTACCCGTACCGCTAGGGGCGACGTCGCCTCTAGCGGTACGTCGCCTCTAGCGGTACCGTACCGCTAGGGGCGACGTCGCCTCTAGCGGTAAGTCGCCTCTAGCGGTACCCGTACCGCTAGGGGCGACGTCGCCTCTAGCGGTACGTCGCCTCTAGCGGTACCGTGCCGCTAGGGGCGACGTCGCCTCTAGCGGTAACGTTAAAAATGTAAGGCTAACCCTTTGGTGTTTTTTTCAATTTTGGCCAAAAAATGAAATTCCTTGAAACTTGCAGGAAAGATGCCTAAAGTAACCCTGAACACATTCCAATTCGATTTTGGAACAGATGTGCCTTTGAAAAGAAAATTTGGCCGAAAATTTGGGGTAAAAACAGTCAAAATTCGGTTTTATTAACATGCATTTCCTCCTCCCAAAATGGATGATATTTGCCCGAATCCGCCAAAATGTGGGTGTTTGAATATTGATTCATGCTCCACTCGTCTCCAGAGGTATTTCTGCATTGTTTGGAGAAAAGTCAATTTTTGGCCAAATTTGGTTAAAAATGTAAGGCTAACCCCTTGTTTTTTTTCAATTTTGGCCAAAAAATGAAATTCCTTGAAACTTGCAGGAAAGATGCTTAAGATAACCCTGAACACAATCCAATTCGATTTTGGAACAGATGTGCCTTTGAAAAGAAAATTTGGTCGAAAATTTGGGGTAAAAACAGTCAAAATTCGGTTTTATTAACATGCATTTCCTCCTCCAAAAATGGATGATATTTGCCCAAATCCGCCAAAATGTGGGTGTTTGAATATTGATTCATGCTCCACTCGTCTCCAGAGGTATTTCTGCATTGTTTGGAGAAAAGTCAATTTTTGGCCAAACTTGGTTAAAAATGTAAGGCTAACCCCTTGTTTTTTTTTCAATTTTGGCCAAAAAATGAAATTCCTTGAAACTTGCAGGAAAGATGCTTAAGATAACCCTGAACACAATCCAATTCGATTTTGGAACAGATGTGCCTTTGAAAAGAAAATTTGGCCGAAAATTTGGGGTAAAAACAGTCAAAATTCGGTTTTATTAACATGCATTTCCTCCTCCCAAAATGGATGATATTTGCCCGAATCCGCCAAAATGTGGGTGTTTGAATATTGATTCATGCTCCACTCGTCTCCAGAGGTATTTCTGCATTGTTTGGAGAAAAGTCAATTTTTGGCCAAATTTGGTTAAAAATGTAAGGCTAACCCCTTGTTTTTTTTTTCAATTTTGGCCAAAAAATGAAATTCCTTGAAACTTGCAGGAAAGATGCCTAAGGTAACCCTGAACACATTCCAATTCGATTTGGGAACAGATGTGCCTTTGAGAAGAAAATTTGGCCGAAAATTTGGGGTAAAACAGTCAAAATTCGGTTTTATTTACATGCATTTCCTCCTCCAAAATGGATGATATTTGCCCAAATCCGCCAAAATGTGGGTGTTTGAATATTGATTCATGCTCCACTCGTCTCCAGAGGTATTTCTGCATTGTTTGGAGAAAATTTAATTTTTGACCAAATTTGGTTAAAAATGTAAGGCTAACCCCTTGTTTTTTTTTCAATTTTGGCCAAAAAATGAAATTCCTTGAAACTTGCAGGAAAGATGCCTAAGGTAACCCTGAACACATTCCAATTCGATCTGGGAACAGATGTGCCTTTGAAAAGGAAATTTGGCCGAAAATTTGGGGTAAAACAGTCAAAAACGTAGCCCCTAGCGGTACGTCGCCTCTAGCGGTACGTCGCCTCTAGCGGTACCCGTACCGCTAGGGACGACTTCGCCCATAGCGGTACGTCGCCTCTAGCGGTACCCGTACCGCTAGGGGCGACGTCGCCTCTAGCGGTACGTCGCCTCTAGCGGTACCGTACCGCTAGGGGCGACGTCGCCTCTAGCGGTAAGTCGCCTCTAGCGGTACCCGTACCGCTAGGGGCGACGTCGCCTCTAGCGGTACGTCGCCTCTAGCGGTACCGTGCCGCTAGGGGCGACGTCGCCTCTAGCGGTAACGTTAAAAATGTAAGGCTAACCCTTTGGTGTTTTTTTCAATTTTGGCCAAAAAATGAAATTCCTTGAAACTTGCAGGAAAGATGCCTAAAGTAACCCTGAACACATTCCAATTCGATTTTGGAACAGATGTGCCTTTGAAAAGAAAATTTGGCCGAAAATTTGGGGTAAAAACAGTCAAAATTCGGTTTTATTAACATGCATTTCCTCCTCCCAAAATGGATGATATTTGCCCGAATCCGCCAAAATGTGGGTGTTTGAATATTGATTCATGCTCCACTCGTCTCCAGAGGTATTTCTGCATTGTTTGGAGAAAAGTCAATTTTTGGCCAAATTTGGTTAAAAATGTAAGGCTAACCCCTTGTTTTTTTTCAATTTTGGCCAAAAAATGAAATTCCTTGAAACTTGCAGGAAAGATGCTTAAGATAACCCTGAACACAATCCAATTCGATTTTGGAACAGATGTGCCTTTGAAAAGAAAATTTGGTCGAAAATTTGGGGTAAAAACAGTCAAAATTCGGTTTTATTAACATGCATTTCCTCCTCCAAAAATGGATGATATTTGCCCAAATCCGCCAAAATGTGGGTGTTTGAATATTGATTCATGCTCCACTCGTCTCCAGAGGTATTTCTGCATTGTTTGGAGAAAAGTCAATTTTTGGCCAAACTTGGTTAAAAATGTAAGGCTAACCCCTTGTTTTTTTTTCAATTTTGGCCAAAAAATGAAATTCCTTGAAACTTGCAGGAAAGATGCTTAAGATAACCCTGAACACAATCCAATTCGATTTTGGAACAGATGTGCCTTTGAAAAGAAAATTTGGCCGAAAATTTGGGGTAAAAACAGTCAAAATTCGGTTTTATTAACATGCATTTCCTCCTCCCAAAATGGATGATATTTGCCCGAATCCGCCAAAATGTGGGTGTTTGAATATTGATTCATGCTCCACTCGTCTCCAGAGGTATTTCTGCATTGTTTGGAGAAAAGTCAATTTTTGGCCAAATTTGGTTAAAAATGTAAGGCTAACCCCTTGTTTTTTTTTTCAATTTTGGCCAAAAAATGAAATTCCTTGAAACTTGCAGGAAAGATGCCTAAGGTAACCCTGAACACATTCCAATTCGATTTGGGAACAGATGTGCCTTTGAAAAGAAAATTTGGCCGAAAATTTGGGGTAAAAACAGTCAAAATTCGGTTTTATTAACATCCATTTCCTCCTCCCAAAATGGATGATATTTGCCCAAATCCGCCAAAATGTGGGTGTTTGAATATTGATTCATGCTCCACTCGTCTCCAGAGGTATTTCTGCATTGTTTGGAGAAAAGTCAATTTTTGGCCAAATTTGGTTAAAAATGTAAGGCTAACCCCTTGTTTTTTTTTCAATTTTGGCCCAAAAATGAAATTCCTTGAAACTTGCAGGAAAGATGCCTAAGGTAACCCTGAACACAATCCAATTCGATTTGGGAACAGATGTGCCTTTGAAAAGAAAATTTGGCCGAAAATTTGGGGTAAAAACAGTCAAAATTCGGTTTTATTAACATGCATTTCCTCCTCCCAAAATGGGTGATATTTGCCCAAATCCGCCAAACTGTTGGTGTTTGAATATTTATTCATGCTCCACTCGTCTCCAGAGGTATTTCTGCATTGTTTGGAGAAAAGTCAATTTTTGGCCAAATTTGGTTAAAAATGTAAGGCTAACCCCTTGTTTTTTTTCAATTTTGGCCAAAAAATGAAATTCCTTGAAACTTGCAGGAAAGATGCCTAAGGTAACCCTGAACACATTCCAATCCGATTTGGGAACAAACGTGCCTTTGAAAAGATAATTTGGCCGAAAATTGAGGGTAAAAACAGTCAAAATTCGGTTTTATTTACATGTATTTCCTCCCTCCAAAATGGATGATATTTGCCCAAATCTGCCAAAATGTGGGTGTTTGAATATTGATTCATGCTCCACTCGTCTCCAGAGGTATTTCTGCATTGTTTGGAGAAAAGTCAATTTTTGGCCAAATTTGGTTAAAAATAAAAAATGAAATTCCTTGAAACTTGCAGGAAAGATGCCTCAGGTAACCCTGAACACATTCCAATTCGATTTGGGAACAGATGTGCCTTTGAAAAGAAAATTTGGCCGAAAATTTGGGGTAAAAACAGTCAAAATTCGGTTTTATTAACATGCATTTCCTCCTCCCAAAATGGATGATATTTGCCCAAATCCGCCAAAATGTGGGTGTTTGAATATTGATTCATGCTCCACTCGTCTCCAGAGGTATTTCTGCATTGTTTGGAGAAAAGTCAATTTTTGGCCAAATTTGGTTAAAAATGTAAGGCTAACCCCTTGTTTTTTTTCAATTTTGGCCAAAAAATGAAATTCCTTGAAACTTGCAGGAAAGATACTTAAGATAACCCTGAACACAATCCAATCCGATTTTGGAACAGATGTGCCTTTGAAAACAAAATTTGGCCGAAAATTTGGGGTAAAAACAGTCAAAATTCGGTTTTATTTACATGCATTTCCTCCTCCCAAAATGGATGATTTTTGCCCGAATCTGCCAAAATGTGGGTGTTTGAATAATGATTCATGCTCCACTCGTCTCCAGAGGTATTTCTGCATTGTGTGGAGAAAAGTCAATTTTTGACCAAATTTGGTTAAAAATGTAAGGCTAACCCCTTGTTTTTTTTTCAATTTTGACCAAAAAATGAAATTCCTTGAAACTTGCAGGAAAGATGCCTGAGGTAACACTGAACACATTCCAATTCGATTTAGGAACAGATGTGCCTTTGAAAAGAAAATTTGGGGTAAAAACAGTCAAAATTCGGTTTTATTTGATATTCGCCTAGATCTGCCAAAATGTGGGTATTTGAATATTGATTCATGCTCCCTCGTCTCCAGAGGTATTTCTTCTGAGATAACAGAACTTAAATAATGAGTCGTCATTCATTCAATACAAATTTTGAGTTAGACCTTGTATAGCCATAGGATTTAATACAATACAAGGGTCAAAATAAACACATTTTGACCAAAATGCTTTTAATATAAAGCCAATTGATAACTTGGCCCTTTTGAAAAAAAAACATAGGGCCTGTTTAATTTCCTTTTAAATACAGGCAGAATTTGATGGATGTGAATTAGATACTAATTTACATTTGATGAGTAACACTAGTTCTTGTTACAAGTTATGACCAATACAGACAAAGTGAAATACTGAACAGGTATTACCACAGAAACCAAACAATAAATTAGCAGGTAACCACATTGTTTTACATTGTTGTACAATTCACATCTGCTTGTGATGGTTTACCTAACACGATTGTGGTTATTCACACTGAACAAATCCTTCAACCAATAAGAAGAATTCCAAGACAAATCACAAGGAGACGCCATTATGATCTTCCTAAAAAAAAATAACATTTGTGTAACCTTTTTTTGCTAGTAAGAGTTAGGTATCGACTTCTGGCAAGTGACTTAATTAAAATCTACAGCTTCGGTCTATTTACAGTTTGAAAAGTGACAATTAGGCAAAAATAATAATAATAAATATATGATTGCTAAATAGTCTAATTATATATAACAAAAAAATCATGTATATTCCATTGAATTGTGTTAGTTCATTTTTAACCGATTTATTTTTTTACAAGATCAATTAGACAAAAAGTGAGTCACAACTAGCAATTGTAAGTACTGCCCCTAGCATTTCTACATTATCTTCAAAATTGAATTGCAAGCCAACTACTTTCTTTGAATACTTGGCTAGGTGCCTTCAGCACCATTGTTGAACGCAAAATGTGCAGTGCAATGTGCAGTGGTGACTGAGCACTAAAACAAACTTATACGCTTTCATCGAAGGAAAAAAAAGTGATTTTTTTTTGCAGGGTTGTTTGAGCAACTCGAACAAACAAATCACTGTTTCCAAGGTTGCTCCTACTCCAAGCAGGTCGCAATACGTGGTGCCATCATCTATTTTACGCCTCTTGATGAGATCAGTTACAAAACGTGAATTTAGGTGCAACTTAAAAAGTAAAGCAGTGCTCCCTATTCCCTAAAAGCTCCGAATCCTAATGTGTGTTTATTATATAAAAGTTGTTTGTGCTTTGCATCATGTTGGCTTTATAAAATCAATAATGTGGAAGCACTTTTTACATACAATTTCATTACAATTTTAGCACAAATCTGGAAGGAAACTGTCAGTTTTGGATGTTTTGTGGCAAATTTCATAGAGTAATAATCGTTTAATTCAATTCCAATCTGCGCCATTCAAAAAAGGCAAACCTAAAAAAAAAAGCACCAAACATCTTTGTTAATAAATCCTTGTTTATGTCCTCACTTTCCAAACTGCCAAATACAGGCCCAAATTTTGCAACATTTTGCCAACCAAATTACTTTACAACTTTCCTTATATACACATCACTATTTGCAATCCCTTTTAAAAACTTTAAATTACATTAATTTTTGAATGAAAACATCTCATTTTAATTACATTTACTGTCATGACCTCCTCATGATTCCTTTAAAGCCAGAAAATCCTAACATATGATGAAACTTCCCAAATATGAAGTTTTTCTTCATATTTTCCAGTTTCGGCTTATAAATACTATTTGAATATAAAAACAAAAGCATCACTGTATGTAAATGAGCAAGGTAATACTGTGCAATATTTTAATATATATACTGTACACATTATACATGACAAAAAACAAAATAATCAATGTTATTAAAAGCAAAACTAGATCAGCTTATTTTACCAAAAGCACAAAAAAAATTGGGTGGGAATTTGAAGCTGCCGTTTAAAAACAAAACCGAATTCATTAAAAAAGTTGGACAAATTTTAATGTCTTAGAAAAAATTATTAGACTGCTCTTACAGAAATAATTGTTCATGTTTTGTTTTTGTGAGCCAAAAAAGAATCGTTTCGCTTTAAAACGTCCATTCAAAATCAGTGTCAAGACAACAACTCCATTGTCTTTCATGTATGTGTTGTCTGTGAAGTGAAATATATTGGAGTATTAATATGGACGGTACAGACATAATTTGCTTTCATTTTTTACAAAAAGAAAATAAAAACCTTACTTTATTAATAATGCCAAGTTTTCCTTTATAAATAAATACAAAAATATCCACAAAGCACAACCTCTTTCCTTTTTATACACCCTGAAACCCACAATCAGTCCGATGGTTTTCCCTAAAACTTTAGAATCTCCTTTGCAAGTGACAAAGATAAACAAGCAAAAATTAAACTTAGCAGTAAAACTGAAGCAGTTGAAATGTCCCCGTTCCCCCATTCAAGGTCTTAATTCTCAACAAATTAAAGAGAAACTGAAAAATAAATGTTGAAAAATGCTTCACCAAAACAATGGCCAATTCGTATTGTTTATCATCTGCAAAGGTTCTCAAAAGAATATAGCTAAGTTCACTTAAGAAAAGGGCAATTATAAATATATGTGGGTGCTGGCTGACGTCATCCGATGAAATCTGTTCATTTACACACCAGTTTCATCGGTTGCTATGTGATACCAACCATTCATCAGCACTCCAGACTCAAGAACCATTGAGTTTCAAGAACATAAGTCTGGGAACCAGATAAGCCAATGTAAAAATTCGGGGATGCCCGCGCTCACCTATAAGAAGAATTTCCCAAAGCAGCTTGAGGGACGACGATGTTATTTCTTGCAGTGCATTTCCGTTTCACATTTCTACCGACTACTACAGCTGTGGCAGCACATCTTGCGGAAATACTCGTTATTGCAGAACTTGTATTTGACCACTAGAGGGCAGTATTGAACCGAGGGAGCGTCTTGGCAATCTAAAAGAGAGAAGATCAACAGGTTCATGTTATCAGTGAGGTTAAAAGTCAGTGGACAAGCATTGTCATTTTATAAACAGTGGAACCTCATAGTTAACCTCATGAGTTCACATTGCAGTTCTCATTACCGAATATAATAAGCACCACTAGAAACCCTCAGAGAAGAACCTCACAGTGCATAGGATCTCACAGACCACAGACCCTCATAGTGCATAGCACCCATAGTGCATGGAACTCATAGTGCATAGAACCTCATAGTGCATAGGATCTCACAGACCACAGAGCCTCATTGTGCATAGCACCCATAGTGCATAGAACTCACAGTGCATAGAAACTCATAGTGCATAGAACCTCATAGTGCATAGGATCTCACAGACCACAGAGCCTCATTGTGCATAGCACCCATAGTGCATAGAACTCACAGTGCATAGAAACTCATAGTGCATAGGATCTCACAGACCACAGAGCCTCATTGTGCATAGCACCCATAGTGCATAGAACTCACAGTGCATAGAAACTCATAGTGCATAGAACCTCAAAGTGCATAAACCTCAAAGTGCACAGAACCTCACAGTGAACACCTCATGAGTTGACACTGAGGTTCCTCACCTTAATAACTACACTTGGCATCACTAGAAAACCTTAGAGTGCATAGGGTCTCACTGAACACAGAACCTTACAGTACACAGAACCTTATGGTGTCTAGAACCTCGCAGAGCATAAAACCTCACGGTGAATACCTCAACACAGTGAGGTTAAGTTACGACTTACCATCTTCTTCCGTTGGTCTGGATACACAAGGACTTTCACATTGTTGCTGTGCGTGAGGCTTCAGTGATCGCTTACAGTAGGCGGGGCTTAGAGGGACGTTGTTGTAGGACAGACATCGAACCTGACGTTGCTGCTGTCCGCGACCGCAGTTAGAGTTGCACTGTTGGACAACAAACAATATCATAGAAAAGTAGAAATAAACTTGGGTTGTGGCGTAAATGAAGTAATTTTATACTTAGAACAGTTTCACTACTTTGAAATTGATCACAAATAAATAGAACTCGACCTTAGAAATTTAAGACTTGACATCTTAATTTAACAGTTTATTAGCTACATTTTTAAGACTAGAGATTTCAGTTTCAAGTCTTGAGATATGACTTTATTTCTAAGAATCTAAATAAAAACACTGTGCTAGTCTTAGCCAGGCTTGACAAACTCACTCATGGCTGATTCCGTTTTAGGTATGTCCAAATTATTTGGCTCTGGCTTGTAATTATGCACATAAAAACAGCTGAGGCCATTTGTCATATAAACTTGTGTTAGCCAAAGCCAAGTCATATGGATGCAGCCTTAGGCCATGTCCGAAAGTTGTGGCTGTGGCAGGAAATAACATGTGCACCTATGGAAGCCAGTGGTTTGTGGCTACAGCCACTACCCATAGACATGTGTGCTACTCCCGGCCGCAGCCTTAGACTTGGCCAAACTTGACCGACTGACTCTGTGTCTTTCTTACCTCGCTCCATTCTCCAGCCACCCATCGTGGCGGTGGGCACCCAGCTGTCTGACACTCTCTGATGGCTGAGGGACGATTCCCCCAGTTACACATATTGGGGTACGGTTCACCGTTACTATTCAAACACTTCACTCGTCTAGTCTGATGTCCCAGACCACAACTTGGCACACACTGCAAGAGAAGATGAGTTGGCTACAGGTTTAGATCGGTCACATTTGCTGAAAATCGTAAACAGCTGTCGGCTAGCAGATCAGTATGTTCTCAAGAATGTTCTCAAGTACCCCCCTGAACAATGCCAAAGTGAAGACTCACACTTGAACACAAAGTCGTGAATTTCTATACGCCAGAGGACAATGCTTTGTGTTTCCCTTTGTCCCTGTAATATAACACTCCCCCATAGACTAGGCACATAACCGTACGATAGAGGACTGTTTTCAACAATGCACCTTTGCCACCATGCGCACAGGGCTCAACGCTTAGACGTTCAAGATTTCTATGGGCGGCATATCACACAACACAATTTACTGTTCGTGCAAAGAATCCATATCCAAGATTTTAATGTCCCAACTTTTTTTCAAATTTCTAGAGAGAGTACTTACCGATGACCACGCATCGGCCACCCACTGCGGTGGACACTCCTGCATGTTACAATTCATCCTGTCGATGGGTTTGCGCTTTGTACACTGCGATTCATCTACGACTTCCTCCTCGAGCTGAGTGACTTTAGTCATGCACAGGACCGTCCGTGTCTTATGGCCGCCACCGCACGTCTGGCTGCACTCGCACCACGGACCGTCTGACCACCTGCAATATTAGAAAAATGGGCAAAGTGATGTTTAATGGATGGAAGTGGTAAAGGAAGAAAACGGGATAACACGGTAATGCAGCGGCCTCATGGTCTGGAGCATTGAACTCAAGATCTGTGGGTAATTCTACAGGTTGTGGGTTCGAGTCCAGCCTGGCGTTGTGGTGCATGTGCCCTTGGGCAAGGCACTTCGTCAGGTTGTCACCATAGTCTCTTAGTAACTCAGTAGGAGCCGTGCTTTTTCTCTAATAGCAAATCTAGCTGTAGCACAACTAGCACAGAGTGATTCTTTGGTTGGAATGTAATCTTCCATTCACAACCAACTTGAAAAAATGCATTTTGGATGCTTCTATTTGCATATTCAACTGAATCATTCTGCATGAGATGAGTACTCACACTGGTGGGCAAGGTTCTGTGTTACACGCTTGCTTTCGTCGGCTCGGTTTGGTTCCTGCATTGCAGAATGTGTCTGATACCACCGTCTTGTCGTCGTATCGAATGCACTGGACTTCAGCTATAGATTCACCTGCAGATACAAGGAGAACAAAAACACCTGCAAGTGACCTCACTGGAAAAACGTGGTGACGCAAATAATATGTCAAGAAGTCGAATTCAAGCCAGTTTCAATAAAACAGTTTCATCTTTGAGGGGAGTAAGACTGAAGCAGTGGTACCAACATTTTCCTCAAATCTGAACCTGAAACCTTTCCTTTATTTCTCTCTCTCTCTGTCTTGATTTCCTCAGGCTTCTGACTTTGTAACTTTCAATACAAGAGAGTTTTAAGTAAGACGGCATCCCTGCATTTGTTTGAATCACTTACCCCCTGCACAGGTGCTTGAGCAGACAGACCAGGAGCTCCAGTGCCATATAAAGACCACCTCATCATCCCCACTACCCTGTCTAGTGACTGGCTGATTGTAGGAATAGGATATACCTTGCTGGTCCTCTTGTACCAAAAGCTGCTAACAATAAATACACAAATAATGAAAACAGGTGCCAATCAATTATGTTACACCTGTATGAGACTGCCACCACAGCTGCCAAACCAAATTGTATCAAGAGCGACTCTAGTCAACCCCGGTAGATTTGGGTGTAGATTTCTAGCCTAATTAATTCAAATATTAGGCTTAACTTGGTTCGGCACGACTCTAAACTGCCAGTCAAAACCAGGTGTAATAAATCTGGAATGTTAACTGCATGCACGTTTGGACCTTAAAAACCATCATGTAAATTATATAAAGACACTCAAGTTCCATTTTATTTTATTTATGGCATCTAATAATTTAAGAAAAAAGCAGGGACTAAGCTAGCAGGTTATTTGGACTTACCATAACTATAAGTTCTTCGTTGATTGGTCCCAATGCAGTGAGAGACTCCACTCCTTGATCTGGTCTCTCGTACTTGAAGGTGGTCCCACTGACATCATAGGCTTTGGGCCAATCAATGATCCACTCAGCATTCAGGTAATAGTCATTATTCACCGACTTTAAAGCTGTTGGAGAAAAAAAGGCAATTTCAAATTTTGAAAATAGTGACTTCCTAACTGCAGGAGATGCAGAAAAAATAATACAAAACAAAAGAAGCACAGTTTTAGCATCAATCAATGCACCGCAAAATGGCAATTATACATAGTAGTTTAATTTTTGTAAAATGTTAAATTGACATCACAGCTAGGAAAGACACATGGAAAACACAGTAATGTTAAATAAAATTAGTTACAAACAAATTTCTCTGTGGAATAAAAAGGATGCATTCAACACTTTCGCAATAAGGCAACCAATTTTGTTTTCAACTATTTCCCTTTAAGAGCAGTTATTAGTTTCAAGGTTTTTTATTCTCACCTAAGTAATTTCTAGATGCGGTCATTTCTTCTATGCTAATGTGGACCGATCCTCGTGGTATCGTGAAGATCTCATGGTAGTCTCCAGCAGACAGCGTCTTGGTGTAGTTCTTGGAGACCGTCTCGCATGTGCTACCGTCTCCACCGCATATACGACACTTGTCCTCTCGGACGTCGGAACCTAAAATCTTGTCGCATCCAACAGGCTACACAGAAGGAAATCAAAATAGGTTTGGATGATAATTGTCTGGTTTAAAGAGTATATAAATATAAAGAACCTCACATAATCTATCAGAACCTCATTAAGACTAGCAGAAAAATCACAAAACCTCACAACAGCTAGGACACGCCATTGCCAACTGTACCTAAAAGAACTTCTTGCAAAAACCTTACCAAATTAAACCCAACTTAACCTCACTCACAGGTCAAACTACCCTCAACAAAACCTCCCACTCACCTAACTTAACCTCACACAACTTCACTTATTGCTGAACACCACCTGACGGAACCTAAGTACTCAGAACCTCAAACAGCAAAACAGACCCTCACTTGGAAGTGCAGACCTTTTGGACATTAACTTAAGAGATCCCTTAATACATAATGACATTTCTTAAGGTGAAGATGTCTAGAACCTCAGGCTTGAGGACTTGAAGGTTCAAACAACGAAACAGAACCTCACTGAGTTTCGTATAACCTCGCTTGAATCATTCTCTCTCTGTGTCAACCATCATCTGGTCGTTGATCTAAAAGACCTCTTACATGGCATTTCTTATTGATGCAGATGTCAAGAACCTCCGGCTTGATCTTCTCAGGATAGCACCTCGTCCCGTCCACGATCTTGTTGACCTTCCGGAAGTGTTCCCCTCCTGAGGTGATGCAGGTCAGCTCACAGGGACCGATGTCTTGACTGACGTAAGGCTCCCAGAAGTAGTAACGTCCACGGTAAGGCTCGTTGTTGAAGTTGGAGCATTGGATGGTGCGGAAGTCACGGGAGTTTGATGGACATTCCTGAAATAAGAGACCAAGATTGTCTTAAGAGAGCTATACATCTGTGAACAACAGGCCCTCAATGGTCAAACTGCATACATGATTCTTCAGTGTGATGCCTAATTTTTATCACCCATTACACTAAATAAGATGCTTAGATGAAAACGGGGTAGGAAGAGAATAGGGAGTTTGATGGGAATTCCTGAAATAAGACATCGACGGACGTAAGAGAGATATACATCTGTGAACAACAGGCCCTCAATGGTCACACTGTACAAGAAGTTCTTCGAAGTGATGTCTTATTGTCATTGCTCTTCACAACATTTTTAAGATGACAATGGGAGTGGACAAAAAAAGGATTATCAGATTTACGAAGGGGAAGGAAATTCTGAAAATTGGTCTCTGAGAAGGAGACAGAGACAAACCAGAGGATAACTTACATCAATATTGCAGGATTTATAAAGACTCCTCTCCCCTGTGCAGAAGATACCTCTGTGAGATGGTCTAGATGAACGGGGCAAAAAAGAAAGGAATTACTTATTAGCATTTGAAAATAATCACCTCTTAAGCACGCTTTTGTTCTCAATCAATTTTGTTTTTGCTCTTACCCAAACTATTCAATGACTACTTCTCCAACACCTTTAAATTCAAAGTCTGACTATATCCCCCTCTATCCCTCTCTGGGCAGATATTACACACCAACTATTCCCTTTTTGAAACAGTCAATAGTTGATGACTATTACCCTCTTAGGGTGGCAATATTTACCTTGGGTTATGGACTATATCCCTCTCTATCCCTCTCTGGGCAGATATTACATACCAACTATTCCCTTTTGAAACAGTCAATAGTTGATGACTATTACCCTCTTAGAGAGGCAATATTTACCTTGGGTTATCACACTGTCTCTCAGACATTGTGACACCTCCTCCACAGGTTCTTGAGCAGGAGCTCCATTCAGACCATGCACCCCAACCGCCATCAACTGCCTGGGGTCTCTCACCGTATGGCACGCAGTCACCCTCATAGCACCACTGCAACAAATACAAATAGAGGGTAATATGAAATATATTACCCTCACAAGAGGCAAATAGATAGATATTGCCCAGCTTAGCATCTAGCTCAAGCACTAAGCACGAAACCGGGACAGGGAGCAAAATTCAGTATTATTTCGAGGAAGGTGGCCTCTGGTTGGTACTTGTGAGAGGGTTACCAGGGAAGGTTATCGGTACCAGCAAATCTGTCACCACCATTGCCTAATTGCCCAGACGATCTGACCCTGAAGGTCAAGGCCAGATAACCAGACAGTCAGCAACATAAACTGATTCTTCTCAAATTAAACCGTTAAGAATTTAAAGAAAATTTGAGAAAACAGGTTTAGCTGGTGGCCCAGGTCAGCGGAATGAGACTATGCATGTCTGTTATCACTTGTGTCCTAAATCTTTTTAGGATGGCAAAGGGAACTAGTTTTCTAGGTCATTCTGCTGGAAGGTCGCGACTTTATTTCTGCACATTTGCATTGTCAAATGTCTTTCCTAGACTTTCAAACTCAGTGAAGTTAACTTAAGTCAATGTGCTAGTCATTTGAGGCATGCGAGACACAAAATGCAATTAACATCTCAAGACAACAGCATTCAACGAAGCATTTTAAGTGAGAGACAATTTATTTAGCTCAACACTCTCCCCGTAAAACAGGGAAAAACCACATACTTCAATGAAATTCAAGATGTGAGGTGTGGAATCAAATCAACTATTAGGAAGTAAAGTTTATTTACCCCGACAGGTGTGTTTGGTGTCTGGCACCTTGTCCCCTCTGCTGCTGGCGTGTTGGTTCTCCAGCAGGATCGGGAGCCAGGCTTGAGGCAAGTCAACTCACGACAGATGCTCTGGAAGGAAAGTGGAACGGGGTGCAAACGTTATCTCAAGGGGTCTGTAATTTGCTCTTGACCATACCTTCATAATCGCTTGTGAAAAATTCAATTTTCAAGTGATCTATGGGGTCCGTGCACAAGTACCCCCTCAACGGTAAGAAAGGGAGAGTTGGGGGTGACCACTGGGAGAGACATTCAAACGCATTGCTGAGGATGCCTGACGCTCACGCGAAGATGCTATTGTCGTGCGTACTTTGCGTACGCGCATGCGGTGTGTCCTGTCCACTGGTTTTCGAAAGTGATAAAAAAGCGCCCCCTCTATTCATGCACGGAGCCATTACAACCTTTGTTTCTAAATGTGGAGAAATAATTTGTGCAAATGACGAGTATGACGACAAAAATCCCAGGATATCAGATATTTGTCATGATTCTTAATTTGTAAATTGCGTTTTTGAAATCATACTTACATTTGTTTTACAGGCCTTGACTTCAGGTCCATACTGCAGCCGACATTGATGGTCACCGTCCACGAGTTCACCGGGCATTGCTGTGGGGAAGCTGTAACTGACTAACTCTGGTGGGTTATCTAGGCAGTTAGCCTTGCCGGAACTACAAAGAAAACACAGCAAAAAACCCCAAAATTTAATTTCAGACAGTGTATGTTATAGAAATTAGACTTTAATATTTTTGCTTTTATGTATACAAGTCAATAATACATTTATGCGGCTTATTGATTATTCTAATGCAATATTTGTTGGCAATATTCATTGACAGTCTTTTATACAGTAATCTAAATCTGCCGATACCGGCAGATATTTTTTATAAATCATTCCAACCACAGAAAGGGTGAAGACGATTGTTTTGAATCAATGCTGCAATGTACTCATTCCCTTTTCCTTGTTGTCTAATTAACATGTTTAGGTGACTAACATATTCCACTTCCCCCATCCCCTCCATTCCCCGACAATTTTCAAATTTGTTTCTGGATCCACTCTGACTAGAAGCCATAAGCTAGACTTACTCAATGTAGTTGCGGATGTATTCCATGCTACAAGCTGACCAAGCAAACGGATCAGTGTTCTCTGTAATCTGGTCTGCCATGATGCCGCCCCGTGTACCACAGGCGTTGCCATCGCCGTCATGCTTCATGCCAAAACTGGACGAGAAAAACCAAGCAACGACCAAAACGTTGAGTTGGGCAAAAAGAAAATGGAGACAGGATTCGAACCTCCAGCTTTCTAAGCTTCTGACGTGGACTAGAGTTTGGCAAAGTGGGAGAATGCTTCCTTGGGCTGGATAGCTCAGTTGGTAGAGCTCTGGTACGGTATTCTAGATGTCACAGGTTCGAATCCTGTCTGAGTAAAATTTCATTGTCCCATTAAAAATTGACTAAGTGTGACCTTATCAGTTTTGCTATGTAGTTTATTTGATGATCCATAATCTTCACAAAAATCGCTGAAGAAATACGAGTCACCACAGTGCATTCAAGTAAAATCTTTGGCAAAATTAATAATGACAAAGTTAAACAATTTGAGTTGATATATTTTGCTTTTGTCTTTAATTAGTGCCTTTTAGTTTGATGTACTGAAGATCCACCAATAAAGTCTTAGTTTTGCCAATGTCTATAAATCTCTTTAACTCATACATAACCAAGAATTGGAAGGAGCCTTTTGAGACTCGTAACTCAACCATAACAACTCAAGTTTGTAGTTGGACTCACTTGTGGCCTATCTCATGAGCAATGGTGAATGCTGTAGCTAGTCCCGTGTCTTCGTTAATGTTACAGCTCTGGCCAGGATTGCACATCACACCAACGGGAGCCAAGCCTGCAAGAATTCCAAAGTATTTTAAAAAAACATTTATTAATAAGATCATTTTAAAACGTTTGCCGATCTTAATACAGAGGTTTGTTTTGTGGAACAGTTTTTGAAAAAATAATGAACTTTCAGAAAAATTGGATGAAAATTGAAACGGTCACTTACCTATGGTGCCACATGGCTGGTTCCTCAGCATACAGATGTCATACCTGCAGTCATAAACAAAAAAAAAAAAAGGACAAATTCCATGAGTTTATTTTCAGAGAATAACACTGCAACATTTCCAAATGCTTGTATCAAAATGATTTTGCGTGAAACAGTGTTGTAATTTCCTGTTTTTTTCCAGCAAGCTGTATCTAAATTTCCAGTAAAAAAAAAAACTTTACAGGTCCAGACACCCACTCTGACTCAAACTTTGTAAATAAAAAAAATAATAATTAAGACAAGTTCATTTTGCGAGATGACATAAAAAGATAATTTATTACTTGAAATCTGGAACCAGACCTGGTTACATGTTTGTCCAATCATTCCCAAGGCACCCTAAGATAATGTTATGACACAGTCTAGACTGAGATCTGTTCTGTTTCAAGAAAGTAATAATGTTCCCTGATGGGATATAAAATGTAAGGCTCATTGAGGTCATACAGGGAACCAGACGTGTCACCGGTGTACATGATGTCCTTGGTGATTTCATGGAACAAATCGCTGGTATCCATGAAAGTGATGGTATCCGTGCAAACGTGACTGGTACCCGTGCTGCTATTCGAGGGCATATTCACTGGGTTACCACACACATTGCCACCGGTATCCTACCTCCCTCATGAGAATACCAGGCAAGTTGTCAGACCCATCACTTTGGCCCATGGGGTTCAGGGTACCATCATTTTACTCCCAATAAAACCCTCAGGCTTTGGGCTAAGTGCTGGTCTATTTACCTGTCTCCTGCATCAGACAGCGAATATTATTTTCTAGGTCTGCTGTCATTCCGGGTCAATAATCTCAATGAGATGGCTTAGACCTGGGATGTCTTGGTTGCCATGGCAATGCATGGTCTTGATCTATTTTAAGAGGCAAAGTGTGAGCTTAGGTTTTTAAAGGAGTTTCTTCCACTTGTTTGAATTGTATCCTCGTAATTTCAGAGAGCTTGTCAGACTGCGTCACCAGCTTGATCCGGTGGGACTTACACCCTCGACCTCTTGCTTAAATACTTCACACTCCATCTCATTTTTCTCAAATTTGACAGAAAGGAATTTAGAATGCGAACCAAAATTCATTATTCTTAGCTTTCTGCTTGGAAGAGGTGAGTTTATTGACCTCAAAATTTTCAAAAGGGTATTGATAAAGGTTGGCAAAGGTTTGGGAAAAAACGGCTGGCTCAGCAGGATTTTTGAGACTTTCTACAGAAGGTCAACTTTAAATACCACAACCCTGTCTCCTCAAATTGGAAACTTAATGTGTCATTGATTGATGCATTTCTTAATGCATCCCGATTATCCTGATGAAGGCTTAAGAATTCTTCTCAAGTTACACATCCGAGCTGTGACTTGGAGAGGAAACACGGAAGGAAATTTCAGGTTTTTAGAAGTGAAGGGGGAGCACTGTTGAAAAGTTGATCAACATTGACCCTGCCAAGAACTCACCCACAGTCTAGGTCTTAAGATGAGTTGAGAACTTAACTCACGAGAGTCTATATTTGAGCTATATTTGTCTCAGAAGATCAAGATGTGGCCAACTGTTAGATGCTCCTGGTTGTTTCAGCCAATCTCCTTAAGTCATTGACCATCTTTTGACCAGACGGAGGCTCCTATCCACTGCATTTAAAGTCATCCTGTCTTTCTCTGGCCTGTTGGAATCCAATCAAAGGCTTGGTGTGTATGTCTTGATAGGGACAGCCTCATTACCTGACCCAGCCAAGGAAGGCATCGTTTAAAGATTGAGCCGTTGAAAGGAAATCCAGGACAGACCATGACTACAAACTCTCCACATGGGGGGGGGGGGGTAGGGGGCTGTCACATGACAACCCTGGGAACAAGTCTAAGCCTTGGGAATTATGACAAGCCAATAAAGAATAATGTGATACCACCATTAAGGGCATAATACAACATGCCAGGGTGGAGTGTGGACAACATGCAAAGATATCAATTCTCATATAGCTGCACCTGCTGCTCTTTTGTGAGTGCACATCTGGTATTATAGGATTACGACACCTGTTCCATTTGGATGACACACAACATTAACATCACAGAATAGAAAATGAGAGACCATCTCCATGCACTTTCCCACGGATGATTTGTGCCCTGTTCACACTCTGTGAACTTCACAGGGGAATGATCTTTGTCCAATTCTGATCCGACCCTTCTTTAAAACCTATCCACAAAAAGGCCTTTTTGCCATAAAGACGACCCAAACTCACATCTCAATCCAACCAAATCTCAACACAAAGAGGTGTTTCATCCACATATTTAAACTACCACAATGATCATGACCTGTTGAAATCCAGGGACAATTCTAACAATAATGAATAAGTTTTTATATCTAGGGTTGAATATGAAGCTAGTGCCTTCTGCCCATGCTCAGACCAATCAATTATAGACCCCCTGCACTGCCTGGTGCAGCACTGATATATCAACAGGTGAATGAGTCATTTTGTCCCACGGGCCTCAAGCACTTGCTTGGCCCAATCATTTTCTGCATTCCTGGGGAATTTTTTTTTATGACAATCATAAAAAAAGAAACAATGCGAAGGCCTGTTCTGTCCTGCTACGCACACAAAAAATTGCAGTTTCTGAATACTTTCATAATAATAACTTCTTTTATAACAAATAATACACCAAAACGCCAAATAGTGCAAACCAAAATTGGAATTACAAACAATGCAGTTCATCAAGTTCAGTTTAGCAAAATCAATAAAGTACTGTTTCTTTTTATAGAAAAAAGCTGTACCAAGGAAAACAAGTTTTTGACTTTCTTTTTGATCACAAATTTGTAAGTTCTATACTTGGTAAACCACTGGTCTATCACATCCCCCAAAGGGTGAGGAAAACCAGGTCAAACCAAATGACCTCCAGAATGACCTTTGACCTCACAAACAAAACACTAAATCTTTGTTTCATTTTAGAAGCTCCAGGGTGCCACATCAAAGCAACAGCCAAGTAGCTTGGTTGGCAATGGTATGGGGTAGGCACCATAAGCAGGAACACAGGGTCTTATTGGCTACAGTCTCCAGCAAAAGAACAACAGTTTACCGCAGTTTGTCAAAGTACCATGACCTGACTGCATACAACCTAACAGCTTGCTCTCAATCGATTTTGATTAAACTTAATTTTTGGACTCCATCATCTTTATAAGTCGCTGCGTACAGACCTTGCCTATGTGCAAATCTAGTATGAAAATGCCAGAAATACCTTTTCTTACAAACAAAAGAAAGAATTGACATTTATTCATATGAAACACAATGATATATTTTAATGATAATTTGAAGAAGGTACTTTGGTACGATGTGTCATTCATTTGCTGGCCCTGAGAATTGAGAAGTTGAAAATGACACTAATATTACCAATTTTAAGACCAACTTTTGAACAAACTGTAACAAATTCTCAATAAACAAAACAATCTGGAAAGCTAATTTCACAACCTGAGGCTATTCATAGATTGCAAAATTCATGGTCAGTATCATCCAACATGACTGTGCTTTCCTGTTTATCTGGGCCAACGGTCCGACAACCACCATATTATTGTCTCTTTGCCACTCTACCATAGGAATCTGAGCTCATTACACATACTCATTTCCGACAGGGCTGTCCTTTCTTTCAATTAGTTCCTGTTGACACCGATAATAAGTGGTCTTTGTGTCAACTACATTTCCCGTACTTGGTGTCAACCACCAGGCAGGCTTTTAGCAGGATTTGGAAGACAAGATCTAGTCAACAACTTCTGTTAATTAAAATAAACAGGTTTTTCATATGAAAAAGTTCACCACTTATAGACTAATTCAGCGGCAGCCATTTTCTGCGGTGGCACCGGGCTCGCGTGAGTCGTACTGAGGTAGTACGCATGCACTCCGGGCTCCTTCAATATACAGAGTTTAAATACCGGGGGTAAATGCAGTGGTAAGTTTTAACTGAGTCTCGGAAGAATTACATTGCTAGTTTTACTCGATGGATGACTTGCCGAAATGAATCTCAGTGCGGATGCGCAGTAGAGTAACCCCAATGGAATATTAACAATCGCTTGTGGTAACTTTTTTGCAAAATTAAGTCCACTGTGAACGCGGTATAAAATGTATCAATCATTAAGTTAATAAATGTGGTCTTATGACTTAAAATTCTGACAGTTCAAGACATTGAACATGAGTGTTTCCGAGAATGATTAGTCATTTTTATATAGTGACTAACTTGACCTACATGCACATCCAAGCCCTCAGGGTAACATTAATGACACATCAATGTGTCACATTTTTGCCTAATAATCCAAACATCACATAAATGGAAGATTTATACCCATGTGAATCTACTGGTTGACGTGCACATGAACACACAATTTTTTTATGAAATTGTTCGTTGTTTCAAGAACAACTCCTGCATAACATCTTTCTGCATTCAAGCCGCGGGTAAATTAAATCTCAGCTGGGTTCAGTAGTGACTGCAACTGGTAAAGCTCACAGCAAACATTTTGAGCCAAGCAGTTCCCCATAACTGAACCCTAAAATGTCATTTTCAGGTCTTTAGGCAAATTTGCAGCATTTCTGCAGGAGTAAGTCATTCATTTTCCATGTGTTTCCAAAATTCATGAAAAAATGTAACAAAATTTGGCTAGTTTCCATTTTTTTTTACCCTGGACACAATCTCAAGAAAGTTAGTCAGGTGTACATTTTTATCCAAGGTACGTAAATCGTGAGTCAAAATTCACAGGACATGTCTACAGGGGATAGTCTGGCCCCTAATTTTGAAATCCGGAGACTCATGGGAAATCCAATAGTACTCACTTGAGAGGAAAGGGATCAGTGGCCCGGGTACCATACAGGATGAAGCTGAAAGAGCCTGGATCATTCTGACTTGCTGGAAAGCATTTCAAACCGAATCTGCTTTGTTCAGACTAATAGTGATAAATCATTCATAATTTTTTTGGGGAAAGAACAATTTAGAAGTTCAATTTTTTCCAGGTCATCGTGAGTTCATGGGACTGTATGACTCAGTTAATGCGATTCGGC